CGTGGCATTTTTCTCCAGTTATCCCAAGTTCCAATCACTTAAGGTATTTGGCCGTCGGCTTCGTCTCGAGGTCCTCTAGCACCCGACTGCGGGATCGTGTTGCTATCGACACTAACACTTACACGGCGACCAAAGCAAGACATGAGCCGCAAATTGTGGATAGTCGGCGAAGTGCTCGCTCGGAGATGCGGGAGCGGAATTTGACTTGCTCCCCGGAACCCGTGCAGACGGATACCTCAATCCCGTCGGAGAGGAGCTCCGGTAGCAATGTTACTCGTTACTTTTGTCTGTATCTCAGCTGCTCGAGCTGCTGGGCTATACTTTTTTCCAAGCGATGGGCGGGTGTATATCCGTCTCTTCTCCCGCTCGCTTGAGTGATGTCGGTTAGGATAATAACCCTGCTACCAGGACAGGTTGACAGCTCATTGATTCGATTTGCCTTGGCCGCCAGAGAAGAGACCATGGGAGACGGTTGAATATTACTCTGATCGGTCGGAGAACGAGGCTTTCGGAGGCTTGTACTTTGTAACCGGCAAGGTGTGTCGTAAGGACTAATCAAGACAGTAGCCAGGAGACCCGAAAGCAGGGCGGAGCCATGATCGATCTCAACACCACGCCCAATTGCTCGTACCGATGCAATACTCGTACTTGAACTGACACTCTGTAACGCTAGTTTGCTGCGACTAGCATACCCCTTTGCACAAATTAGCCCAGTCCCGACGCTCTGTCCAGGCTAGAAAGGTACATACGAGGTAGTTCATGGAGCAAGAGGAGGTTGCCGGCGGCTTCCGATTGCGCTCGGCCGGTCGGGGCGGTACTTGGAGCGGCGCTACAGAGGCGGCTGCGGAGCGTGTACCTAAATCTGCCTTAGCACGACCCAGTCTCGTATCGTGTTGGATGTTTTTGTGGTGTTGAGTTGAGGTGAGGGGGTGTGGTTGAACCGCTCAGCTGGGAACGGCAAATGGATGCTGAGGCGACGCAAAAGGAAAAGGGTGCGGCTTTCGAAGACATGCAAAAACAGGCGCCTGTGCGTCGGCTTGTGAGTGCTGTGTCGCGCCCTGTCGCCGTCGGAATCTGTCGTCTGGATTGTATGTACGGAGATGTGTGGTGAAATATGATACGTGATGATTCGAAGTGCCGAATCCTTAGACGGGCGTCGTGATGCCTGGGGTATGTACATAGCTGGCTCCTTCCTCCCAACCTCACGTTTCGGAAACGCTGAAACGCGATATCGATAACGAATGCCTCAGGCCGTACCTCGTGCGACCTACAACTACCGTACTCGCACAATCTGCAACCTGCATTTGCAGCCGACAGTACTCTCACGAGCTCACCTCACCTCACCTATCACGGACGACGCCAACTGCCACAGCCCCCAAGAGCAGATGCCGTCATCTGCCCAGGTTCCGTATTTCGTATCTCGCATCCCGCATCTCGCCAACGTGTCCCAAACGGTGACTCTCATCCATCCAGCTGCTCCGTATCTGCTTTGCTTATACGAAGTACACACCACAGGCTGGTGTCACAAGCCAACTATTCAGGTGATTCGACCCTTTCTGCCTGCCTGTTCTAATATCCAGTTCTCTGTCCTCGTTCCATTGTGCCTAAATGCTCACCAAGGGATTTCTATCTTTCCAAAACTGCATTGTTGCGTCTGCTTGCCCAACTCTGTCCTTTGTACTAAGAATCGCACAAGACTCCGTTTCGAATTCGGGCTTCGGGAGGAAATGGCTGGCACTACAAATGACGACTTAACGGCTTGGCTGGCTTTGATTGCAGGCTCAAGCACGCGGTGGTCGTATTACAACAACATGGTTCAAACAGGCAGTGCTGCTCGTGCAGCTCCTCCGGCTTTCCCTCGGAAATGCTATGTTGATCACCACCACGGTTCCATGGAGCTCACATCTTTCTCGCCACACTGACACGCCTCCCCTGGCTGGCGTTCCGGTTCTTCGCAATTCCTCTCATCCCCCTGGCGGTCAGGCAATGAGTGAGCGGGGGGCAAGTCTGTTATTCACCAGCAGCCCATGTCGGACCTACAAGTAATTACACTGTAGCGTTACGGAGCCGGACCCTTTAGACATGAAGGCCAGCGAAGAAGATGCGGGACACCAAGCATCCCTACACCGACGTCAAGCTACGCCCTGGCGGGCCCTGCTGTGGTCAACCCCTGTTCGGCACGGTTTCCCCGTCCCCGTCGTATCCATCCCCTGTCTCCAAGGCCTTTTGCACACCCCAAGCTCTCCGAGTGTGCACCCCCATCTCACGTCCTGTCAACTTCAGCGCCTTGTCTACGAAGTACTACTTGTCCGAGCAGACAGGCATTTCAAAGCGTGCTGATACTGTAACATTAACGTGTTCATACCAGTACTGTCTGCCTCTTCCTCTTCCATCGCCGCTGCCATGCAGGCTTCTGCCGAGAGGGTCAATGTGGTAGGTAGGAACGGGTAAAAGGGACTACTACTGAAGTATTCCACAGTGAGGGGACTTTCCGCCCCAGCGAGCACTCCGCTAAAACCCATGCCTGGCGATCACGACCAAGCTATTGGGAAGAATTCAATTGGTCAGAGCTCGGGAGACCATGGAGCCCTGAGGCGGATCCCGAATGGTCAGAGACACGCGTGCGTCAAGGACAAGGCCTCTTCCAGGGGGAGGCTAGGCCCGCCGCCGTCAGTAGGACGCAGCCCTGGTCTGCTTCTCCATGATCATCATCGGACCCCCCCTGTGTCTACTCTTGGCGCCCTTCTTGTCTTTTTCTGGTGCTTTTGCTGTCTACACCCTCACCCCGGCCGTTTGCTTCCTCACGACCGTGTCACAATGTGGGCATACGACACTTTTCTTCAAAGTTGCCAAAGAAAACTCCGCTCGAAATTATGGGCCCCGGCCTGGTCCTTGAAGGAGATCACGACTGCCAAGACGTTCCTTTTTTCTTCATGTTCACGGCCTGCCCGAGCGAGAGAGCGTCCGGCTCCGTTGACAAGTGCCGACATGGACAATGGACAGGAGAAGAGAGTTCCTCTGCCAGGCGACTTACGGCATCCTTCCTATTACCCGGAAACGCTGACCCTTGAACGGAAGCATCAGCAAACCCCGCTTCCGACGGTCTCGCGGGCAGAGCCACGCAGGAATATCGGCCTAGCTCGCCGTTGAAGAAGAACAAACTCGCAGCCTGCATCAAGTACAGTGTCTTCATGTGCCCTGACAGGCCCAGCTAGCTGAAGCAAGCCTGAGAAAAGCCCTTCATCTGCCACCAAGTGGGGAGACTGCCTGTCCAGGCATGAGATATAGCCCAGGGCTGGAGAAAACGGTCGGCACAGGCTGCCTAAAAGGGTATGAGACCCTTCTGTGGACGAACGGATCGCTTTGACATGGCGGGCCGTTTCCTTCTCTGATAAGGGGAGCTTCGGTTATCTGCCACAGTATGCGCCGTTCCCTCTAGGATACTGGTATGTATGTCTGTCGACTGTCGCTTGCGGAGTGGTTTGAGATGCAATGAGAATGATGACATCGCCGAGTTGCTAAGTTGAAATATCTGATGTGTTCACAGCTTTCGAGCACGCTGTAGGGACGGAAAGCTCAACACCGCCCAGGGTCGACACACGCTTGGCTCAAACTGTACACAAGCGTGCGACACCCTATGTCGAAGACATGACTCGGATCCGACGAATTCAACACACGCGGAGAACGAGTCAATGCGAGTTGAAAGGGACATCTTTCTTTGAGTTGCGGTGAATATACCGCCAAGGTTGAAACAAGGAGCGGAGGGGTCCTGAGCCCTCCGCAGCCCAACCTGAGATCCGTGAGGATATTCCCGTCATATCCTTTCTCCCTTTCAAAACATCTACCACTTGTCAGAAAGTAGCGGCGGCTCGTCCCATGCAGCAGTAGCAACAGCAGCAGTGGCTGCTACTCGTACGAGTATGTGCGGCACATCATCACATGGAGCTGTGCGGCTAGATGCCATCCGCCCATGTGACAATGCGACCCTGGAGAGATAGCGACGCTTAAGATGAGTGCATGACTCCTCTGCATGTCTTGGCAGCCGAGTAGCCGATGAGCTGGTCTCTGACAACGAAGTCCCCGTTGGTTGTGTGCGCAATCGCTTGTTGGAGGTTGTCGAGAGATGCGTTTTGTGAGGCGCCGTTACTGTAGTATTCCGGCGTCACCCTGCGACTGAACGTCACCCCGGGGCAACTCACCAGACGAGTTGCGTTTGTTGAAAGCTTGGACTTCATCCTTTTTGGCGAGTGCAGTGCTATGGAATGGATTCTTGAGGCTTAACGCTTGATGCTGATGCTTGATGCTTGGTGATGTCTTAACGCCGATGTCTGCTGAGTTGTCTCCGGATCAGGCATTGACATCTCACTGAGACATGCTTCGGCACCCCCTTGAAGCGAGGCCTGACAACACTTCAGAACTCACCCTACTGTTAAGACCAGGAGCTGGCACGCGTGATTCATGTCCCAATACTGACAAGAGTTGGAAAGAAGTTATGGGGACACTGCCCTAATTTGGTGTTGTGCTCGATGATCGAGCCGTGGCCTAAGATCAGAGCTTATTTCCTTATCTGACTCCCTCCAAGATACATATTACAGCATGCATAATACGAGTCACCGCAAATCCTCAAAGACAGAAAGGAACCATCCCTGCAGTTAGATCTGAGCCGAGACGCAGTCCCGGGAAGTGCTAGGAACGGGGTCTTCACCCAGGCTGTGGCAAGATGCCGGCTCCAGGGGGGTTTCGACCAATGCCTTGGAGGGCCGATACAACGTGCGAGACAGCCCAGCAGCCCGAGTGAGTGCCTTGCAATTCGTGCCATGTAGAGTGTCGACATGTCCATCCAATGATCTCTCACAACTCTATAGATAGCCATACGAATAGTATGGTATGCGGTCACAATGGACGAAGGGAAGATGTGTAGGAAGCATTACTCAGGATTTTGCTAGGCCATACAACGTTGCACTCCATATCACTATCTCTTCTCGCCAATAGCACAACTGAATCCCCAACCAACCAACTGATAACCAGCAATCACGCAACCGCAACTTCACTCACTGGAGCTGAACCCCGTGATATCCGGCCTTGCCTCCGAAAATAGACTCTCTTCGCCCACTTCCACACCTCAGCGCCAACAACAAATACAACGACGGCAACGAACACGACTCCCCACTCCCAGCCAATCCCAGCGTGTATGGAAACTACGGTACTCAGTCGCGGTATATACAGCGTCCGGGAGACGGACGAAGAAGACGACGGTGAGGGCGAAGGAAGAGAAAGATGTTCCCCCACATATGCCCCCCCCCCCCCCACGCGCGGGCCCCCTTGCCACCGCGCCGCATGTCGAAGAAGGACCGGCGCAAGTCGAGGAGCTCCCAAGAGAAGAGCAGGAACATCAACGTCATGGCCGTGTAGGCTGTGACGCGGGCGCGAAAGACGGTGTGGCACGCGGGTGAGTAGGCGTTAATGCAGTCAGAACCCAGGTTGCCGTCGCCGAAGGCAATGATGACGGTGTTGAAGGAGCCTAGGGCAGCCGGCCATGAGGATGCCGTAGATGATCATGTCAAGCATGAATTCCGGGGTGAAGATGCCGTAACGAAGCTTGAAGACGAACGTACTATTAGTTTGGGCGTGATTGTGACAGTAGACTATTAATCGTAGAGGAGGGGGAAATAGGGGGAAAGCTTACATCTTGGGGAGGACGATTCAGGATATCTGCGACAGTAGCCTCAAACTCAAGTCCCGTCTCGGCCAAAGCACCAGTACCGAGAAGCATCGAAATGATCTCGACGGGCGTCAGCAGAATTACCGAGTCGTTTGCGCTATCCTTGAACGCCTCGTGAGTAAAGATATGATGAAGCCGATGTTGGCTACCAGGATGTGGAGGATGAACTTTTGAATATCGTCCAAGATCCGACGGCCTTCTTCGATGGTGTTGAGGATGGACGTGAAGTTGTCGTCGGTGAGGATGTTATCGGATGATTCCTCGGCGACGTTTGAGCCTGAGCCCATGGTGATGCCGATGTCTGATCGCTTGAGACTGAGACTGTCGTTGACGCCGTCGCCAGTCATGGCTAAGAAGCAGACTCGTCTATGAGGGCCTCGATTAACCGGACTTTTTGTAACTGGTGCACATCTAGCAACTATCAGGGGCAGCTGAGGAAGAGCGTTGATCTGTTCATCACTCAAGGCGTCAAACTCCTACGCCGTCCATGGTACGCGCAACGTCCGCCGGCAACATGCGCATCTTGTCCGGCGGAGGGAGAGTACACCCGTCCGCGGCAATGGCACGCGCCGTCTGCGGATGGTCGCCCGTGAGCAAGTGGACGATGATACCCGCGTCCTGACACATGAGCACGCTGTGCCTGGACTCGGGATGGGACGGATCGTAGATGCGGATGAGGCCGTGGAAGACGAGCTGGCGCTCGAAGCGGTCTCTGCTAGGGATGATGCCGTCCGTGAAGTCTGAAGGGGAGGCTAGTCTGTTGACGATGTTGTGGGCGAGGCCGAGGACGCGTAGGCCTTGACTTGCAATGTCTTCCATGTTTTCAAGGATGATGGCTTTCATAGTGTTGTCCAGGGGCTTGATTTTATCTTTGATAAGAGAAGCTGTTGCATGTCTCTATAACACGTTCAACCGCATCATACTCATGATGAAGGCGATATCAATCGAGCTTAATCTCTGTAAGTATTCCATGTATGAGTCCTTTTATGAAAATGTGTGTTTCCTGTGTCATTAGATCCAGAAAAACAGGCGACATCTCCATGACTTCAGAGGCCAACGGGAACTGCCCGGCATGCCTCCAGTTCGCTGCCGGCCCATGCGACAACTGCACACGATGGCACCCAAAGCGAGATGCGAAAACCCTCAATCGCAATCTCTGTCGGCGCGCCACCAGCTGTCCATTGACCGGAATGTGTTGGATTGCTCTTCTCCTGCTCAACGACGGCGAGATTGGCGAGTGAAACAATGTTGAGGTAGTTCTGCAGAAAGGGTCTCTTTGCAACCTCATCCAGCGGCGCGATTTCCTCCTCTGATGGCTTCTTTTCTATATCATACGTATCTCGTGGTTGAGACGGACTGAAGGAGACGCGACCGATTGTAGGGCTGTACACGTCGTTTGCTGATTCGACGGAGTAGGTGCCGTGTCCCAGGAGCCATGCTTTGCGCGCAATCATTCGGCCTTGGGTGACCGTTCCAGACTTATCAGAGCAAATGTCTGCATCGATGATCATTTTTCCATAAGAGTATTTCACAACTTATATGAGTCGTCGAGACGTCTTTCAACACTTACTCGTCACTCGGCCGAGAGCCTCCGAGCTGGACAAGTTACAAACAATGACATGCCCCTCAAGCATCTTCTTCGTGCCAACCGCTATGGTCACTGTCAGCACCAGCAGCAGTAAGACGCGAATAGTGCCTACGGCCGTCGTGACAGCGTATAAGGTGACATTTCTGTTTATCGAACTTGTTGGCTCCTAGAACAATAATGGCACAGACAACCGCAAAGGCGAGCAGCCACAAGAACAGCTGTGCAAGTTGCTTCTGCAGCGGCGTGCCGACTACAAGATCGAGACAATCAAGCCGCAACTCTACTTGTAAGGGAAGAATAGAGGGTTTTTCCTCTACATTTGGAAATGGAGAACAAGAATAACCAATAGAAAACGATCAATCTCCCCGGAGTGGCGATCTAGAAGGAGGGTTGAGGAGGACACCAAATTACTGAGGAGACATAATGAGTAGCTTTATGGTGGTTTCGACTTATAAGAACTAAAATATGGCATGGAGTTAAAGTCATCATAATCACTGCTTTTCATAAAGGTTGCAAACGAGCCGTCACTGAACGGAGTGTGTTGGGGTGTGTGAATCAATGACTTGGTCTAGGGAATTGCCAAGTATACGCCGATGTTCTCATGTCACCGAAGATTGTTTCGAGACTAAACGCTACACATAATATTGGAGCGAGAATGGAGTGATGCAAACTCCATGTTGACATGATTACGCCCGGCAAGCCAGAGTTGGTGCAGTGCAGAGTGAAGCACGGCCTTCCTCGTCACTGCTGTGCAACTCCAACTGACAAAGACGCAATGTGAATTGAGACATTGTACAAAGCTGAAGATTGGCTATGGAACGGCCAATGTATGATTCAGTTCCCTGTATCACACCGGGTTGACCGCCATAATTACACAGCATCTCATCCTCACGCCGCCGTCTTCTCGAGGGTAAGACTCAATCACTGCTCAACACAAGAGAGCATCATCTACATAAACCGCCCATTTTTCCCACACTCCCTCTCGAACGAAACTGACCAACAAGACGGGTCGGCAGATCAAACATCTGGCGCATCTCTTCCTACCCACCAGTCTTACCGGATGCACCAGATGCCAAAATCTGCCCACTACCCGGAGCAGTCGTCCTCAAAGAAGATGCGGCTCATTGTGAAGGTACTCTTACGTCCCCTCCACAAAGAGGACCCCTGGATGCATGGCTTATTCCTTACTTCAAAGTATAACTAGAAGCAGCGCATGATGCGTTGTCGGAAAGGCGCAAGTGTTCTACCTCCCTGCCTCTTCTACAACAACCACGTTTTCGCACCGAATCGAGTCAACAATCGGCAACATACTCGTATACCCTCTTACCGTTACCGTGCCTCCTCAGCATGGAATACCAAACCTTCCTACAGAATGCAAAGCAAATGAAAGAACCGCAAATGATGCTGGCCATCGTCTACGCCTAGGATCCCAGCTTTGACAGCACCCTAGCCCATTATCACTCATATCGAATGGGCCATCGAACAACAAACGCAACCATGGCTGGCAACTAACTCCTTCTTCGAGCCGCATAGCACCACTTTCCGGGACAACTCCTACATCCCACGTCCAATTCCGCGGCTTCCCGTCCCACCACAGCATAGCTTCTTCAGCATGAGCCAATACCGCTACACAACTAATCTCAGTACCACGACATCTTTCACCAAGCCCTTCGACTCGCCAAGCACATACAAAAGGAGACACGAGAGGAGGAAGTCGAAAAATGCTTATGCGGTTGCTAGATTGTCGGCCACATCGTCATCATCTTAACAAATCGCAAAGTAGCGAAGCTGCAAGCCGCAAGCCCTCTTCTCTTCTTCCTCCTTGGCCGGAGCTTTCGAGACGACTGGACTTTATGCGGCACACAAAGCCTTACGATACCGACCAACCCTATTCTTTACACAAATACTTATCGACGACAATTACACGATTTGGCCACTCGGCAGCCTCGACGCAGCACCATGCCCTCACAATCCATTGGAGGTCATCCTGCGGGCAAATGCCACCCATAGGCATCTTCAATTCTTAGAGATCCTGGCACAATCTTTGCTCGCGAACATTACGATCCGCGGCACAGTTACTATCCCGCGGCATCATGGCTGCTCTGGCTACCGGTCCCTATACCGCATACTTCATCTCCAGCTCACACAAGGAGCTCCTGAAACTGTTCTACGCAAGGACGAAGCTTCCATTTTTGAATTCGACGAGCTACATATATGCTCTGGCCCGCACCTCATTGAGAATCGACGCCGGACACTCTATGGCCATGGACATCAGATCTCTCTTCACACACCTGGTCTGCAGCACTCACCGTACAATGCCCTTAAATTCTTCGTCAAAGCGACGATCTAACATGCTAATATGGTCTACATGCCGGCCTGCTGGTCAAAATGCAAAAAAGGTATGAGCATATTTGCATTATCCGGGAAATCATGGTATTCAAACCTTTGGGCTGAGATTTCCAATATTGGTGAACAAGCCAAGTCAATTGTGATTAGAATAGAAAACACCAAGCTGTAGTGATATCATTACAAACTGTATAGATCAACCAACAGTTAAGAGAATATCTCCTCCTGAGAGCCACGTACTTTATCCAATTTCCCATCAAAAGATACCGTGGCGTGCTGTAACTCAAGCCTCATTTTCCTGATACCAACCTGTGTTCCCTAAAAACTCCGACATTGCTTTTTTTTTTTTCCAACTCCTAGTATACTCAAATCGTTTGTTCTACCCGTAAACCCGTACTATATGTCGTGATCTTTCATAACTATCTATATTCCATTTCAGTCAATCGCTTTCTAACTCACCCCTGATCCATTTTACGGCCTTTGGTCATTTTCACCCTCTTCCAAACCGACGCGCAGAACTCTTTCATCCTCTTTGCTGATCTTTTGCGAGGAGATTTTGTTGGCTTACTTGGCTCAGTCTGCGGTGGAGGAGCTTTTGTTGGCTCAGTCGGCTCAATCTGCGGTGGAGAAGCAGGAGGGATACTCGTCTGTGCACAAGGCGGCGCTAATCCCTGATTCCGCTGTTCGATAGTAGTATTGTTCGAGCCCGATGCTTCTGTTTTCTCTGTTTTCGACCAACCGGCGGTGTTACGTGTAGTCAAGCTCGCGGTGTCAGACAGCGGGGGTTCATCGGTACCGAAGTTCTCATCTTGTTTTGCCGGGACGGTCATATCTGGAGCTTGGTTTGTCTTCTGCAATGCACTGGTGATGTCCGAAGAAGAGGATCCGTCGTGTGATAGAACTGGGCGACTCGACCTGAAGGGTAGTCTGAAACTGTGACCAAAAATGACTGCACCCCTTTCCTCTAGCTTGATTGACTTCGAGAATGACGTGCTCTCAGGCTTTCCCTCATAAATCACCTGAACGCGACCGTCTTTGTTCCCACCTCTATCGGAGCCGGTGCACCTACAGTCCTCAAAGATGTTTTCTCCAGGCTGCCAATAGATATCGTTCATCAGCTGCCAGGGATGGGAGTCCCTGTTGCCGCGGATCCTGAGTATCTCTTCCAGAACGTCGACAGGCACTGCCAAGAGATATCTCCCTGAAGGTAGTCTATCCACGGATCCGCATTTATCGCACGACTTCGTTAAGCTGTTGGCCCCTGGCGTGATGAGCTCCCCGAACTGTTTGCCAAAGAGCGTGACTACAGGAAGATGCGGCACAATATGTGTCCACCCATGGCGGGATCGTACCCTAAACGGTAATTTCAGCCTGCGAAGGTGCAGGTTTCTGAGGGTAGCCACGTCCATGAAGTCGAATCCTTCCAAAAAGCGAACTGGCTTGCCCACTAAGGTGCTCTGACTGTTTGTTGCCTTATGCACTTGGTCAATGGCTTTCTCCATAAGAAACCCAATGCGTTGCATCCTCGTGTTCAGGCTGGAGTATGCTGGGTCTCTTCGCTCGGCTTCGGCGTCTAGGTTTCCAGCGTCCAATAAAACACCGGCCGCATCTTGCTTCTGAAGAGCCAAGTTGTCGAGTTTTCTGATCTGATCATTATAATAGCTGTTTGGGTTTTCTCTGTGGTCTTCCCATAATGAAGCTCTGACGAGGTGAAGGTGCACTCTGGAGCCATCGTCAAGGTAGCCGTGCACTTCACCGACGTCCCATAGCAGGAAATGTTGCTGCCCAATGTGTCGAACGAGAAATCCATAGTGAGTGTCGGTAAAGCTAGAGATGATTCGCTCCCTGTTGCCTCTTTCGAAATCCGAGCTGAGCTTGAAAAAGCCCCCGACTCCGAGGCTGGTCGTAACAGGTCCCCAGGAAACGTCGTTTTCAGCCAGCGGGAGGCCGGACCATCCAATATTGTAGTTTGCATTGGGAGACCCTTCAAAGCACTTACGTTAGAGAATGATTCCGCTCGTCGCCTTTCCGGGGCACCTTACCTATGTCGTTTTGAGCCTCCACGCACCATCCCAGGACGTGGCGGGAGTTTGAGAGTCTTTCCGGCGCAATCGAGATGCCCTTTTGAACCCGAACGTCTGCGTATGACAGCCGTTTGTCGGCTTCGGCAACGAGTAAGTGCCAAGAGATGATGTTATCTTGCGCCTTTGTGGGGATTAGCATAGTCGAGAAACCCTTGATCACCGTCCTTCCTTCCCATGTCGTCAGGAATTGGCACTCTGACAAAGTTGCCATCATATCCAAGGGCAACTCCAATCCGGCTTCAACCATGGAACCAATTCTTGGCTTGGTCGGGTAGCCGGTAACAACGACTGGGTTGTTGAAGAGATGATACCAGCATTGGCCGTTGATATCGGGTGGGTTGTCCCACAATTGTTCTGTTTCAGTGTTGATTCTGCAGATGAAAATGCTGTCGAAGCCGTCCTCTTTCAGATGCGCACTGAATCCGCTGATTTCTGGATGACAGAACGAAATTACGCGCTCCCGATGGGAGGAGCTGAGAGTTGTGGCCAGCCATCCAAGCTGCTCGCCAATATCTGCGAGCGATCGAGCGGTTCCAACCGCTTCAACGTTCATCATCTTCTCGCCAATGGAGACTCTGAACTCCGTCCCGACACCTTCAACAATACCTAGGTAACTGTCAGGTTCAGCACGGCTTAACTGCAGAAATGTTCAGCCTACATTTGGAAGAGTTTTGGAACGGTTTCGAGGCATCATATCCAGAAGCCTTGTATACCCGTAAAGCGGCTTGGATAGCCTGCACCAGATGGCATTTGATCGTTGGCCAGGTCTGACACACGTATTGCCTGATAGTGAGTGCTTGAGCGTTGGTGCTGGAACCCGTCAACGTAATTGCTCTGGGTAGGGCCTCATCAGCATCCATTACATATCCCTGTTCCTCCATGTATGCGAAGATGTCGCATGCTACATCAAATGTCAGCTTCGATAGTTTCGAGGGATGCCGCTTGCCAATCTTCTGGTCTTTAGACAACCCCTTCAAGATATCGCTGGATATCCGCTCCATGGTATGTAGGCCAGTTGAGGATGGACTGAGCTCTCTCTTGAATTCTTCAACAAGCCATTGGAAAGCCGGGCCAGCTGTAATTGCTTCCCGATACTGGGAAAAGTCCCTGGGCAAGTCGCCTTCGCCATCAGCATCAACGACAGGATCTGGGCACTCCTCAGTGGCTGACGAGTTGCCTTTTTGTGATGCTTTATTCCATATCAAACCGATTCTTTCGGTCACCGACATGGGACTTGTGCCCGATATGGGATTTGCGATTGGGGGTCTCTCGATCTCGTAAAAAGCCCCCAACAACTGTGCTATTATGCTATGTCACTCGTGTTAGGACGTCAAGAATCACAGGTATAAAGAGACTAATAGGACATATCAAGAACTTACAGCCGATGCTTGTAGACAAAGTACCGAATGTCCTGGTTTATTTGAGCCTGAGACTCCTGGCCCTTTTGCAGAGCAAACGCTGACAGCAGGTCGGGTAGCAAGTCTAGTGCAGATGACACGGTATCGTCCGTGAGTAGGGGCCGGATTCGCTGGTAGAGATGGCGGGTAAACTCCCAGACATAGTCTTGAGAGCGGTTTGTGTCGACAGAGCTTTGGTCCGAGCAAACCGTTTGGACCTCGGCCATGTTCTCAGCATTCTGGGCAACTGGCAGTTCTTCCTCCGTCCGGATATCTTGCGGCGGCCGTGTCCAGTTGGCTGGGCATGCTGCTGGCGAATATCCTGGCATTGATGCATGTCCAGGATCGGTCTGCTCACTCGGAGCAGCTGTGCCTTCCGAGACCTTTGCAGGGGATGTAAATAGCGCGTCAAACACTCGCATGGCAAACCTAAAGGCCACCTGCTTGGCATATGTAGAAGTCGTCGGAGCCCATCGTGGGAAAGGACGCCATGGGTCGGTCTGGTTCGCCGCGGTAAGGTCGCCATCACCGACATCAAGCGGGTTCTTCCACTCCTGTGATTGGGTGGAGGAGTCCGTTAACGATTCGGGGCCTGATGCTTTATCCACCATGGGCTCGTCATTGAGGCCGCCGCAAGAGCCGTTGTCCTCCGGATGAGACCAACTGGATAGGGTCGTATCTGCCAATTCGCTGAAGCTGACACCGCGCTCGGTATCGGCTTCTTCGAATTGACCCCCCGTGTACCTCAGATCGGAATCCGAGGCCGCAGGTTCCTGGGACCCCTCCCTCCGTCTCTCCGATTGCCGTTCCATTCTCAGGGGTCGTTGGGTGAGGTTGTGTCTATCTCTCGAAGTGTATGATTACGATCGCCAGGCGGTTGTCTGTCGTACGAAGACGCCCGCGAGGTTGCGAATTGCACCGAAGTTGTAGATGCAAAGATGAGCGGCGGGTGATTTTCGCTATCGTGGAGGTGGCCGGTGGCAGGATTGATCGCGCTGTAGCTGCAGGCCGCAATTCGTCGAGGCGCCGTGGTGATGCTCAGCACGGCCCGACGGCCATGGCCAAAGCTTCAAGCTCTGCCACAGATCGAGGAGGATGAATCGAGGACGGCGAACGAATGACGGAAGACCAGAGATGAGAGATGGAGATGGAGATGGAGATGGATAAGGGGGGTGATGGAGAGATAAGGCAAGGTAAGGTGGGTGGCAGTGTGTGCAGACAGCTACCTGCCCACCTACCGACTTGTCGGAGACAGTTCCGGCCAGCAAGGGGTACAGCCACGTGAGCGAGCACTGCCATTTGCGAAGGATTCGATTCCCATTGGACAGCTGCACGTTAAATTGCGAAAAACAAGGCTGGCCAGTGTTGTCCCTCTCAGCATCCATGAGATTCCGCGACGGCCTCGCAAACAGAGATGCTGCTAACAGATGGACAAGATCTGATAACGGCCTTCGATTTGGCTTCGGCGCCACAAGATTGGCTTCTAGAGCAAGCTTCAAGTTAGTGCAACAGCCAACATAACAGTTCTTGATTTGGTTGCGTGTCTTCCAACCTGGTACTTCAACTTTTATTCTTTTGATGCGCAGTTCGCTGCTGTGACGTATGCGGAATAGCCCCGCGATCTTCGTACATGTACTCAGCCAATGATGAAGGTAAGGTGCGGTAAGGTAGGGAAATTATAGGACTCCTCGATGTGAGAGTATACACGGGAGTCTGAACAAGATCATCTCAGTTCTGCGAGGTTGCTAGATTACAACGGTGATATCTCAACGGCTGTTCCCGTCCAGTAGCTCAAGGCAATCAGCTGTGTGAGTTCCATTTCCCGAATCTTATCGGAGCTCCCAGATCAAGTCGATCTCGCTGATCATTGAACAGAACCTATCAAGTCTCGGCTGATGGAGATACATCCAATAACTCGTCCCGGATATAGGTATCTTTACTTGTAAGCGCTACTAGGAGGTCTCAAAAAGGCCTCCGTTTCTCGACCTCGCTCACCAATCAAGATACCGCGGGCGGATGTTAGCGATGGAAGCGTACCCTCTACAGCTTATTGGATAGCCCTGGGCCCCTTCATAGATCAACCAATGCAGAGTCCTCTATGGCACAGAACGTCGATCTCCCACTCTCGTTATAATGGACGTACTACGCTCCATGGTCTCCAGGTATAAAATATGAATTATGATGCTTGGTTTGAGTATTGTGCAGCTTTGGTACTATGTTTTGAAACTTATGTCTGCTTTGCCTGATCCACAGGTGCTGGAGTCCGATTCTATAGGCGCACTTCGTATGAACCGTCCAGTCCGATTCTACAGGCGCACTTCGTATGAACCGTCAAAAAAGATCAATCTTGACCGATAGTCAAGCCCCTGGCTAGGAGGCAAAGTTCTGCCTAACTCAAAGTGTTAAAGCTGTATCATGGGTCAAGATGTGAATTTGAAAGAAGAATACTGCTACACCGTACCAGCCGTCACCCTTTATGCCTCGATTTCATACGTTCCAGTGAACTACCAGAATACGGCTTCTTCGAAGGTTTCTGAACCTCATCTATATCTTCACCGGCGGAGTATAAAATGGAGACTTCATCAGAGAAAGTTGAGAAAGGTAAGAGACAGATACAGTCTTTACTGCTCACCTATCTTCTAAGCAGGTAGTAGTTGTCAGGTAACACTGCATCATCCTCGGATTACTCTACTCTCCTCTTATGTTCCATATCGCTTTGAAATTACTCCTAAGTACTTGAATCATCCACCTGATATATCCTCTCTTATTAAGACGTTGAATTCAGGTGTTGGAGAGGATCAAGTGTCTTCATACATATAAATGACGGGGATAGTTGCTCTTATAAGGCATCTACAACAACTACCGAGACATACCAAGCCAGAGTTTTGTTGTGCTTTGGAAGTTCTTTGCGATCGAGCCCCAAAGGGAGCCTCTGTGGATATGGTGATAATTCACGGCTTATTGATGTTATCTACATTAAAGGGTCAAGATTTCCTCGTTTCAAGCGTCGAATGAGCGTCCTTATGTTCGAACCAAATTTTACAGATCGTTTATGTACTTCCAGGGAGAAGAAAGCTTGAATGCTGGCAGTAATTCACGAAGCACCAGCTCAAATGCAACAGTCACCAAGTATGTATCAAATATCTCAATGGTGGCGAGAAGTTGACAAGCCTTGCGCGGAGTGGCATCCGCATCTAGATTTACCATTATCTCAACCGTATTTCGTTTAACTAGATTGGAACTGCCCTGATCAATTGAATGAGCAATTATATCTTCATTTAGTCTCATAGGATTGATTTTCCGAACGCTTCTCTCGTCAGGAACGAGTTGGCTGCTTGCACGGCTCGCAGACATGTGATAGAACCCCCATACATTCTATCTATCTGAAACATGATATCTCCCCAGTTATCTGCTTCATCAATAAGCATTCTAGAAAATAGTCCATTGATAGACCGCATTTACTTTCCCTTCACGGGCTATCAGAGGAACAGAAGCTCATTCCCTGGGGTTCAAAGGATCATACTGCAAGATGGCTGCCCAATCACCACTCAGCAGGCCTGGACTTTAACCCACCGCCAAGTCTGCCTTAGAGATCCTCTTTTCTGATCCAATCGGAGATACAAAGCCAGGGCATTGCCCCAGCTACCATCTATGTATAGATACTTTGTTCTAGATCAGAAAAGAGCTACTCTGTGAAAAGCCCACGTAACACATACAGTCAGAATGCAGATCTGCCCAATGATTATATGCACCTGAACCCCATTCTTCTACACTACGGCCAAACTTGCAGCCGCTCTTGAGGCAAATGACCCATGTCTCGGCCTGAAATCCCAAAAATCTCAAAGCCCCCTGCTTCAAATCATTGGCGCTACTGTATATTTTGATAAAGAAAAGCTGTTTAGGCTCTGCTTCCGTGTCGTCTTTGCATGTAAGTGGCCTTCGAAACACTTTCGGTAACGTTGTGGTCAAAGTTTTGGCCACACAATTTGGTAACATATCAGTAAGAGATATTATTGCCTAATTATTGCATACACGGCCTTGTTGCCTCATGCTTCGTGATATGGCAGGCTAATCGATCTGGATCGGTCGACGGTCGAGACCCAGGCGTCGCGGCATATGTAGCTGAATTCGACGCCCAGTCTGCAATCTAACAGTGAGTGACATAGCATCGGGGAGGATTACCGAGGTAGATGCCAGTTGTTCAGCTGCACCTCGACTCCACAGAGGTGGTTGCCTTCTCTGAATATGATCTGTTATGTTTGCCATGCGGCAGGAGGCTTGGTTGCCTTTCTTGGGCCCCTTCAATATCGCCATATTGAATAAAGTATCTTTCAGGCTTGCGGCTCGATGTGTTATGCATGCTCGGTGAGGACTACACGTATTTTGTTTGTACAGCTACAGAGCTTGGAGCTGAAGTTAGGATCTTCGTGGTTGATTGGCTGGTTGAGCCTTCGCCAATGGTGGTGGCTGTGCCCCTATCAGAGTCATCCGTCAGCTATACAGGGGCACGGCAAAGCTCATAGCGTATAATAGGAGGTTGGGTGTACTGATATACTTCGTGTTTCTACTCGTTTAAACCCTGGATAACTATGCTCTGGACTCTGAACTACTAGCTGTACGAAATAGCCAGCTTCAAATGCACAATATGTAATGTAAGGATGAAAGATGGCTCATACACCAAGAGTGGCGTTGAGTGTTTAGGAAGGTCACCAGAGCAATCGACTACTCGCCAGTAAAGGGCTAAGGAACATAAGTGTCTATCCGAGTGTCAAAATTCTCGTCGATCCAGTGACAAGCCAATAGTTACACATCAGAAGATATTCCGTATATGATTTATTTTGAGTATGAATACGTGCCTAGGTAAGAAATTGCTTCAATTCTATTTTCCAGCTTGCCTTGCACACAGTAGAATAATAGGTACGTATGTTATCAGATGGCTGTAGTGTGTGTAAACGAGCATACTCCACACAAAATCATATCGAAATGAACTTAGGATTTCCTGATATAGTACTACATATATTGAGATAGTTATTCACCAGCAACAAGATAAACTTGAGTCCTGGAAATTCACTTCCGTCTGCAAGCAGCCATCCACGATGTCGCTCACGTAATGCAAGTCAATATACAGCATGCGTCTGAGCCAACTGTCCACTGGGTTGTGAGCAACGGTGTCATTTACTCCAAAAAGTAGATAACAGTTAGAGTATACATGTAAAATTTACTTCATCCCCTGATACGAACGGGCAATTATCGATGTCAAATTCTCCGTACCCCATCTGCTAGTCTATAGCAGACGATATTGTCCAAATGTTGAACTCCATATGGCATAGTTTCAAGCCTTCTACGCCTGAATTAGATTGTTAGACTAGCAGATATCATTTTACTGACTAGATTCAAGTTTATAGTATGGATGAGTTGGTTTTATAGCACTTCTTGACGGTTGTAACGGGGATGACCCTATGAACGACATCCTATCAGAGTTCAACCCCCGACCCGAGACAGCTTTTCCTGCTCACGCTTCAGCTTTATAAGGTGCTGAGCGTAACCTTTGAACCAAACGACTGCATAAAGCACTCATCAAAATTACTTGAGTGCGTCAAGCGCAATTTGAAGTTGCCAAGAAGGTTTTGCACATGCATGTACTTAGCGTAAGGGCCAAGTTTGCACCCCTTCTCTATCAACCCCCTACTCCTCACCGCTACTACATTATGATTCCCATCAAGGATTCGGTATTTTAGTTTTGGTTGCCTCGTCCTAACATGTACAAGTAGGCAACCGTTCTACTAAGCCCAATAAAGGTACTGATACGCGATCGGGAACTGCAAAACGCTTCTTTGTCTCAGCTCATGAATCAAATTACAAACTCCTTTTGTCGTCTCACCGATTTCTATTGCTCGGAGGATGATTCAATTATCAACATAATTTCTCCGGACGATGTCATCATTGGGATGCCTAGAGCCCGGGGATATAGTAAGCCAGGCAGAAGCTCCCGACAGCTCTTACGCTCGGTAGGCTACAAAGGGCCATACACAGCTCCAGGAGTGCAGCGAAGCGTTACCAGGAGGTACATGGATGGTCACCGTACCCGCAGTCCTTGTAATACTATTCTTATGCGCTGACTAGATTAGGACAGGATTCGATTCCTTGATCCTAGCATCCGACTGGACCGCTCACGGAGCACGAGCCGTCCCTCCACTGGAGATCGACCGGATCACTCGCAGCAAAGACGGGTCTCATGATCCCCATGTAATATTTGGAGAGGTACTCTCATAAGCAGTTTTTTGTGGATATGTTTAGGCATACAGCAAGGCAGCCTGCTCCCCTTGGCGACTCGGAGTATTTGGGCAAGATCGGGTTCCGAAAACTCAGCCACAGGGTTACGTTTGCCATATACTCCGCTGAAGATTCTTGGCCAACGCGATATCACCCTCAGAGAGAAGGAGAAAGCTCGGTTCTTGCGTAAGGCAATATGAGATAGTACTGATTTGAGCCGAAGATGCCGCCAAGAGTGGCGATATGAGCAAATTTTCCTCGTTGCTGGCAATTACTCGCGCAGACCTCGGATGCTCTGGAAGAGGTAGCTGTATGAGAGAATGTCGGATCCATGTCTGATATGACCGTCGGGTGAGTAGCTATGCGAGGCTGCAAGGGCTTCCCGATTGTGTTGTGAGCGCATATAACTTTTGTGGTTGGTGGTTGGTAGTTCATGAAAGGGGTGTAGTTCAACAGAGCTGAGGCTCCGACTCTGAATGGTAGCCTCGTGGGAGTTTGTAACATGACATTGCCGCGTTTAGACTGTAAATGATTTCGGGATTGTTCTAGATCTTCTTCGCAGCTCATAGAGCATCGATGGGTGACGTCGAGGGCGCTCTCATCTCGCCTGAGATTCAATACTTGGGTCCTAAATGTTTCATATACCGACGTCGTTGCGCGAACAAATTAGGGTAAATTAGTACAGCTGCCTGACTGAACAGTTAAGAGCTGAGTTCCTCTTCGGTGTACGATAATTGCTGAGCTGCCAATGGGAAGCTCCGTCCATTAGCGAGATAACCCTGTGCTCTCTTCAGCCGCTTTTAGGCGTCAGCTGAATTCATGGACTACTGGCCAGTTGCAGACGAAACTCCCTCAGCGTGAATTTTCCGAACCCAATCACGGAAAGACATTGTATGGACTACGAGCAGTTGCCTACCTGAGATACAATAGGTGCCTTGTGAGTCCATGCTAGTACAACGGCGGAGCGGCGGAGCGCCGCTATAGGATCCCGTCGGCAGGCAGACAAGAAGGCGACCCGACGTCTTCCCGTCACATTCCTCACTTAGCTAGAATCCTCTTGCGACATGTCCCGGCCATCAAGGTGTTGTGGTGAGACAACTCATACACTTACACGGCTGACTGCATACCCTCGATGTGTGGAGTCAAGGATAGCCACAGGCACACCGCTATCAACAGACTTGGTTCACAGGCACTGCTATCCAAGAGTAAAGCTGATCCCACGACAAAAGAAAGCAAATATTCCAGACAATCTCCTGCAGAATACATCGAAAAATTTCAGCCCGGCACTCCCGCTGGACGATGTGGGATGTCTAAATAAGTTCAGGTACCAAGCATTAACGAATCGCTGTTGTGTAACAACCCGTTCAAAAGGATCACGTTTGAGCGAGTAAAAAGTGCAGGCAAAAAAGGCAACCGCATTAGCGCGGTTTTCATTACAAAGGACCCATCATCAACACCTAACAGGGTACTAATGGAGAAAGGATGCTACCAGCGATCCCGAAGGAAAACCTCTGGCCAACAAGCTTTACCCAATGTCCTGTCGAAAGCGTGTTACAATCCCGCAGCTCCCCTTTTTGTAGCGCCGGGAGGGTAATCAGGCAATCATGTCTCCCAGTCAAGCTTTGGGGTCTGTGGTCTCATTCCTTGTCGACATACAAATAGTACGCACATCCCACGAAATACCAGGACTGTCCTCGTACCAAAACCCCGGCATGACCGGCCGGAACTCGGACATTGTGAAAACTAACACACTTGCCTGGGGTCCGTTACCTTTGGGACCGCATACGAGGCATACGACGTGCCTATGTGGATGCCTACCTTCCATGTTACTATCGTCACCGAAAGCTTGAGAGATGGGGTCTTGCAGCAACCCACAACGAAGCTGTATTCCATAATCTGAGGTCATTCTGAGTGAATTCGGCTACAGCACCAGAAAACCCCTCACGTGCCCCTGGAATGTTTCTTTATCAAGTCTTTGCCGCATATTTGATGTGCACCAATACGATATTCAGCATTATGCCCGGATATTTGACTGATCCCATCGCAAGGCTGAACCCCGCATCCACCACTTTCTATACCTTACACACACACACTCTTTACCCCTCATCATTCCTTTGCGTGTAAGGAGTACACATGCGCCCTTCAAATATAGTATTCACAACAATACTGTAACCTTCAGATCACGTCATCAGTCACCGAACTCCCCTCCCGTAATTCCTTCAGGGCGCATGAGACAACCTCTTCATCAGTTATAGCCAGCGTGTGTGGTGAGCATGTCACCGTTGTTTTTGCCTAAAGGAAGAAGACTGCTGCCTTATATGAGAGACTGTACATCTTCCCCAACCATGAAACGCATTGACGACGATGATGAAACAAGTAGGGTAAGCGGGGAAACCAAAAAGGGAGGAGGCATCAGCCTGACCCCCAGAAGGCTGCACGATTACCACCATTGATCATGTAGAAGAAGGCCTTCCGTCAGTGCAGGCTTATCTTACATTCCAGACCACGGACGCCTTGTCTCAAGTCAAAGCACTTTTGTACAGGAATCGCCATCAAATGCAGCCCTTTCGTCGGGGGGAATCGCCAAATATAGACCCGAATTGTGACTCCATCACGTAGCCTATACTCCAACTTCCAGGCAGAACTCCAACTGTAACCCCCTCAACGGGCTCTCACAACGTCGCAAGTCCGTGCGATGTAACAACACAGCCGTCATAGTCGAGCTACCGACCGAACTTCTCCAACGAATCGAAGGCTTCCGTAGCTCAGTTGGTTAGAGCTTCGTACTAATACTTTCAAGCCTTGCGCTAAAAAGCATTGGTAATGCGAAGGTCGCAGGTTCAAGCCCTGCCGGGAGCAAAACATCCCAGTTGCCGTCGAATTCCTTATTTTTTGCTCTTTTTTCCTTTTTGCCCCAACCTCGTAAACTTTCCCAGGACACTATCAAAGATAATATGATATGTGACTACATTACCTTGTCTCGTGCACTCAAGTTGATCCAAAGAAGATCGTGACTTTACACGCCCACCGAGCTTCCCATCATCTGCCTACTCCCACTATACTGGAAGAGCTCCGCTCCTATATTAAAGGAAGTGTGGTGCCCACGTGCTCTGCTCGCCATGCTTCCACCACGTGCAATATGCCGGCATCTCCTAGTGGTAATATTCTAGAAATCAGCCGGCTCTGCCTTGCATATGCAGGAAAGACTGCCTTGAGCTAGAATGAGTACGTACCTCGAGGAGCCGCATTTCCCCAGGAGGAGTGGATAGTCTGGGGTTCTTAGCTGATCTGGTTGATATGTGAGCAAACCCCATGCCAGCAGCCCTATAGAGGATAAATATAGCCTTACCCAGTAGTCTTATCGGGTCCGGCATGAACGTACATGTACTCAGTATGAACTTGGGCGGGTCCCGGGTCCAGCAGGGGGGCAGTCTCGGAACGAGTGAGGTTCGATGCCGGCGTTGAACACAACACATGTGCGCCCAGTCATAAACCAACCTGATCTGTCGTTGCCGTTGCAGAGATGTAGTTATAGGGCTGAGCTATGATCTACCTCCCTGAAGAGGCGGCAGTTCGTTACAGTCATGATGCCAACTGAATCTAGATTGACCAATGCCCAGACCTCACAACCAACAACCGCACGTCGTTCACCTGGGTGTGCAATAGGACCACCTGACACAATTCCAAATCCTTATACTAGATTCTTTGCCCACATTATTCTATGCGGGATCAACGTCGTTCGCTTCATCACCAGAAAAGACCTGTGATGAGATATCTACTCCGGTTCCAGATGCCGGTGCCCCAGTCGATCGTGATCTCTTTGAATTTCTCCGCTGTGCAGCAGTAAGCCTTGACTACGTACACAGTACTATGCATCGAAATGGACTAAAGCAAGCCCAATATGACCTGTCGCAGGCAACCTAACAATAGATCGTCACATCTCCCCAGCGTTCCCCAGAAAATGTAACATTCAAATTCAGGGGCTGGCTGCAAGGGTGGAGCCTCGATTGTATCTCTTAACATCGTATATTATAAAGAGAACTCTAGAACAATGCAATGATAAAATCAAACAAAGGGGACCAAGGGAGTGTTCTTGGGAAAAGACAAAAGAAACAAACCACGTAAAGAAAGCATATTCCACACGCTGCCTAAGCGCATTTGCTCCAGGCGCCTCTCGCTCCAATGATCAAACGTCCGTCGAACGGCCCATGCATGCAGATTTACCAAACACTGTATGTGGAGATTGATGGAGTTTTCAGTATGCTTGACGCGGAGAACTCATGTTCTGCGAATCGGCACCGAGACTGACAATCTCCCGGGCGCCCTCGGCGGGCGTTTTAGGAGTATATTCAACGTTATACTCGGCGGGCACGGTAAATTTCGCGCTTTCCGCCTCCCATAAAATCCACTTGCCTTGTTTAGCGATTTGTCGTCCAATCCATAAAATTCTCTCTTTTCTGACGTCCACCATCGAAGCTTGTTCAAAGTACTTCTCGTCCTCCTCAACAGCCTCGCCCGCGAACCACTTGAGTGGAAAGTATTCCTCTGTGTAAATCAGCCCTCGCATGGCGTAATCTTCCGGAAGTGGCCTGTAATGATCCAGATTTTCTGCTCCGGGAAACGCCTCGCTGTCCATGCGAGGCTCAGTCTTGCATGATTGTTTCAGATAGTTGAGCATCGTCGCAATGAGCTTCCAGGGGTACTTTTGTTCAATGTGCTTCATCGCAGAGGGGAATTTTGATAAGTGATGGATGAATACCATTTGTGTGTGAATAAAGGGCAATATATTCATATCCCCCCACCGCTGAATCACTATCTCGAGCGTTTGCACCGCCAGCGAGAGCGATTGATGAAAAGTGTCTGTCGGAACCGCTTCCGGCAAGGCGGTCTCGCCAGCAACGTCCATCTCGTCGGACCGTTTAGGGAGAATGGCGCTCTTTAACACATTGGAATCACTGCCAAAGCCAAGGAGGGAGCACGTAATGGAGATGCCCATATAATACCTGTAGAAGGATCAGTAACAACGAACAGCCGAAATCAGAGACCACATATGCTTACCCGGCTTCCAGCCAACCCTTGGTCATGCGGGCAATGTGTCCGTCCAAAAGGCTCAAAAACTGCCTGCAGGAAGTCCCCAGGAGATCCTTTTCTTTTCCACAGAAGAAGATTGCAAGTATGCGAACGAAAGCAAGGTCGACCGGTTCAAGCCTGGGGGGGCCCGAACTTAAAACTGGGTCAAATAAAGTCATGACGCTCTCCCTGGCGCTGAGAAACGGGATCGGGACGCACAGCGACTTAGTATAGTAATATGTCTGCTGGAGCGCGTTGGGCCGAGCGAGAATAGCCAAGTGGTGATAAAGCCGGCCCGTCGTGGGAAGCTTGTCCGACGCCTTTGAATACCAGTATCGAGAAACGGCCGTCCAAGTTTCGCGGTCTCTAATATCATCATCCTCGATAGCCATGCGATATCTGCCCAGGTCTCCAAGGCACTCGATCCACGTATCTTCAAAGGCCGGTACAGTCTCGTATAAAAGAGCCATCATGCTGTAGGCGATGTAGATGAAAGTGAGCATGTGTTCGAGAGACAGAGGCAATCTATGTCTGAGGAGCTCGAGAAATGAGTGGATTCCATGGCGCCACATGCGCGCAGGCATGGCATACTTGGATGCCAGCCGTCGAAGCGCCGGACTGGCAGACGGATGCTGACTCGCCAGAAAAAAATCGTGATGCTCATGCAGCAGTGTGCGGTGAAGAGCAATGAGAGCCTGCCACTGCTCGTTGTTGAGCTGCTGCGGCGAGTCTTTATTCGCTGACTGGGCGTTGTCGACTTCAATACATTTGCTTTCAACCATCACAAGCCCGGCATAGATGCCCTTGACCTCGGCGACGAGCTGCTCTTGGGAAATGGGCCTGGTCTCCGGCTGGCGAATCATCTGGGTCACAGACGGGTCCTCTTCCCAAACATCTTCTGCGTCGGCCTGGGCGGACGGGCCCGGCTCAGGATCAGGCTGCTCCATTTCATGCTGGGCTACTCTCGCGCGCGGCGGCTGCCTAGACCGCTGACCCGACCGCTGACCCGACCGCTGACCGGATGCTGGAGGCGCGGCTTGAGCAGGTCTCGGGAGGTCACCAGTGACAGGGCTCCAGAGCTGCCGAGTGCTCGAGCCCTTTGTTCCGCGGTCGAACTCTTTGGCGCTGTCAACCTGCTGCCTCCCACGCCCACGCCTGTTGGGTGTTGCGGAGGGCGGGGGACTACTACTCGGGGAGCAAAGCTTCTTATTGCGAGATTCAGTATCAGAGCCCTCATTGTTGTTGGGCTGCAGTCGACCAGCATTCTGTGGGTCGTCTGGAAGGTCAAGGGCGGCTGTTCCTCCCGACCTTTTCCTTGACCGTCTGGCTTGGTCATTATCTGTGGCAGATGTAGGCTGGCTTCTGTGTCGGAGGTTAATGGGTGACATGGCCCTATGCAGTCAGACGTCATAGCGAAGGAGACTCACTGCGCCTTGGCAGAGCCAAGCTTCATTTTCTGGAACGCTTCCAGAATGGCCTTCTCCTCGGTGGGATGCTTGGCCGCGCTGTCCTGAACATGGTTCTTGAAGCCATCGAGGGTTGGTGGCTTGACGTCCTTTTGGCAGATGGGGCAACTGAACTGGCGGGAGTTGCGGAGGTAGTTGACAAAGATCTTGGAGATATCAGGTTGGACCGAAGACATGATGTGGCGGAGCTGAGAGATGTATGTACTACTTGGTATTTGTGCTGACTTGTGATAAGCTGAAGGTAGCTGCAGATGTTGGGGGCTAGCCGGAGCCAGTGTGTGCAATAAGGCTGATGAGTTGAGTGGATTTTGACGGGACACAGGGCTGGCACGAGGCTTCAGTAACCAGTCAGGCGCGCAAAACCGGATCGGATCTAGTACTGCTTGAGCCGTTAGCTGAGGGCATTCCGAAGATGCAGCAAGGGCGGTGATTCGGGCGCGGCCTAGCGGTGCTGGAGATGCCGCAGAAGGGTTTGAATGAAATCGTGAAGCTCTTTGTGAGAGTCTGGAAGGAGTAAAGCTGGTGGATGTATGTTGCTTAATAAGTGCAGCCTTCCAAGGTTTCTTCCGGGTGGCTGCTGCAGCTGCAAGCAACCTCGCAGGGGCCCGCCTAAGCCCAAGCGTGGTGGCTTGCAGGGGGGTAGGGATTGGATATTTCAGTGGGGCACTGGGGCGCGAACCAGTGTGCCTTTTTTGAGGCTCAACAACATGGGGACTTTTAAGGGTCCGCTTACCACCACCGACGTGATCTGGAGCCGCAGATGCAGTTTTTATTATAGAGACCGATGTGCTCCGACTACAATGCTTGGGAGCTGTAATCAGAGAGACAATAACGATGCCGAGGATGATAAAGAAAAGAGTAGGTGTGTAAAAAATATTCTTGAACAGTCATGAAGTCCAACGGCAAAGTGTGCAATGTGTCTCTGTGTCTGGCTGCAGCATCTCTTTGTAGAGGGAGAAGCAAACGAGTGCAGATGAGAGTGATGGATCGCATCAGGAAAAGAGGAAGGGGAAGCCCTTTTAAACACTTCCAGGTTAGATACACCAGGGAAGCAATCAACTGGCCGCGGCGAACTACGAGGTGAGTGCCTGGGTAATTACTACCTAGTATGAACGTAAGGTATGTAATTTTTTTTTTCTGATGGGTCGCAAACAACATAAGGTACCTCGTTTGGGTAACCAACTTCAGCCCCGCCTTCACTTAAGTACCTCAAGGGAGTGTAGGGCACATGTACATAAGGCTGCAGGCATCATGAAGGCTCCCGATACATAAGTTACCTAGCTGAACTTGTAGGAGCTTCGGGTTGGGGGCTACGATTTCATCTTGAAAGAGCCTCAGTTACCCGTAAGGTAGGTAGGTATAGGTTGCACAGTGCTACAATCATGACATCAGCTACTAGGTACCTAAGCGACAAGGCCGTGCTATCCAGTGACTGGGGCATGCTGATGGTCAGGATCATTAACATCCCATGCTCACGAAGAGGAGTCAATACTTGCAAGCGCATGTATAAAGAGAAGACGGATTCTTTACCTCACCGAGTACGACTATTATGACATTCTGTCCTAGGCACCAAGCCCACCATCAAACGAGCTGCCAATCTCAATCAGAATCCCACGATGCCTTACTTTTATGTATACCTTCAATGTTCCTAAAGCTCAGTGCTTTATTTACACCCCATGGGGAGAGGGCTGTCACCTCTGCAGTCCTGATCGGGACCCATATAGCTGCCTTGCCGCGTCCAACGTCCACAGAGCCGCATAGTCACCTTGTTCTCACATCCTCCTTCTCGATGTGCCCCAACTGGTCGGATGGCAAAAACAGCTTCTCCAGCGGTTACGAGTACGTTCTACGCTTCACATCCAGTATAACCTTCACCACTCACCACTCTACAAACGGCAGGCTACGACGACTGCCTAGATGAAATATTGGAGCAAACATAGATTGCAGCTGACTCGATGGCCCTGATATTTTTATCCTTTTGCCCCTTGAGAGCACTCATCATATCACCCTCTTTTTCGATGAGAAATTGTTTGCCGTACATGCACAATAAGAAGCGCCCAGCCATTCACTGGAAGCCATGTCAGTAGCAATGCAATTGTTTGTCCATCTGCGCAGGGCACAATTACGGGCACAATCACGACGAAATTTTCACATGGCCCATCCACATCGGAGGCAAGAGAAAAACCAGGCTCGAATATCAACCTTGAATTGCTGTCCGAAACAGGTGCCGCATCTCACAATCGCCCTCAGCCGCACAACTCAGGTGTTACCATCGTCGTATTCGAGTCGCACGGCGTGCTACGTTAATTGCCATTCAGGTCTTAGGTAACAGGACGCCTTTCTCGTATGTGTTTTGGTGTGAATGGGCACATTGTAGCGAGAAGGGCTGCCTTGTCTTTCGATCGAAGTCGTCGTGGGGTCCGCCTCTTCGGCCGGTGATGAGTATTCGAGGGAGACTGCGACGATGCGCCGGTGAGAGGGTGAGTCGCGGAAGGGAGAGCTGCAACGGGCGCGTGCCTATGTTGCCGAAGCCTTACATCCCTTTAGAGACCCCGATGTTATTTGTCTCACACGTTCACTGGCTTGTGGTGACAGTTTCGGATGCCTTGCCTGTCCACCAAGATGCCAGCTCCAAATCCTCACCGAATTGAACTCGCCGAGTTTTCAAATTCTTTGTCGAATCATCACGAGATGGCAACACACGCTCACGGCGCAAGAACCTGAAGGGGCGCAGGCTTTGGGCTTTTGAAACTTGGGTGGTTGGTTCGGCGACAAAGAACAAGGCAGAGCGAGGCGTCTATGTTCGGTTGGATTCTAATGGTCCCCAGCTGTTCTTCAGGGTCCTATGGTCGTCCTTATAGGTTGTAAGTTAGGCAGGGGCATCAGGTGTTAGGCGGCGTTCTCTTGAAGCGAGCTAAACTGCATGTACGGTAGAATATCAAGATATTGTTGGTCGAGACAATGTGCCCGAAGACGAATGTGCTGTAAAGCCATCGTCAGCTATCAAGGATTCTAAAGAAGGAGGCATGTTGATATTGTCCTCTATTGGCTGTTTGAGCCTTCACACTTGACATGCATTCATGCCGTCTTGGGGCGAGAGAGGTGACGAAGCCCCGACTTCGCCCCCCTCCACACAGCTGCTATGCTGATCTATCATGAAGGTAACATATTCCGTGGCGAAATGGCTCGGGGTCGCCGTGAATGGATCATATCTTTCACAGGCTTCGTGAATATCAAATATCGTGGCCTTCGTCGATGCCTATGAAACTTCCCTGCCTGAGCATGTAAGGGTTCAGACCGACAAATGAGATGCAGGTAATGAAGGACACGTATGTCCAGTTATCACGTACATGATGAGCTGACATATATATTATGGAAACGTCATACTCCTCGTATATATTCTCCAACGCAGGACAACTACCCGAGTTCGTGAATATATATTGTCATTGGTGACGTATACGTTGTTGCATCGGTATGGATTTGTATCAAAGGTTTGCTGTGTTCTGTGCAAGGCCACGATAATGGATTGTACCTCTCTCCATGAACTCAAATACCCAACACCAAGTCATTCTCTACCTTAATAGTGTAATGGAGAAGAACGTAATTCAAAAATTCCGGTCTCGCATGTATGCACGTGAGATTTGCGAGCTATCAAAGGTGTCGACTGAAGTCCAATAAGACTCGGCAGTTGCATGTAAGCTAGTATGTGGACGTCTGATATCTCATACAATCAAAAGTTCACTATTCCCGGCGATTTTCGGCAGTCGAGTTGATTATAAAAGCTGTACGTGTGATTGGTTTTATGTTGCTGTTTGAAATGCATATAAAATCAGCACACAACACGTCAGATGTAGGCTCAACCGCATACGAGCGGTAAGCACCCGCACCGACCAATTATATTACATTCATTTTTTATTGATAGGTAAAGACGTCTTCGTTGTTTTCTCTTTACGGAAGTTGCAAAGGCCATTTCCAACTGCACAGCACTTCCGCGTTCTTACGCCTGCTTGCTCGTATTTTTCTTGTGAGTCCAGGCAACAGGTGGAATTGATGCCGAAATAAACTCCATCAAGCGGGTATCAGAAAAAGCGAGACTGAAAAAATAATATCCGCATACAAAATTGGAACAAGAGCATACATTTCTCTCGACACCTAACGCTGCAAAAGATGCGCGTAATTGTAGCTCTGTGTGCTGATCCCCGAATTTTAGTCTCGCTTTTTCTGATACCCGCTTGTCCATTGGGACGTATGCCTAATATAGGAACCGGAGTTTTGCAGTTCTCTTGATTGCCGATCACCTTTGCCTTCCTCGTTGATTTGCTGGCGTTCTCCGAAACTATGAACGATCGACAACAGGAGAATATTGTAGTCCAATAAAATAGCCGGGTTGGTCCAATGCTCTCATACCAATATCATATCGCCACAGCCATAAATAGACTGTTTGAACCCTTTTCGTATCTAAGAAAGATCGCCGTGCTTAACGAATCTCATCGCAAGCCTCATTATTACAACTTGGAAGAGGCAATGCATTGAACAGTTAATCAACTTGGGGAGGCTGGTTGATTGCTGCTGGGCAGCAAGTGGTGCCATTCGCCGCCTTTCTCGCTTGATCATCGAACAACTCGCCACTCTCTTCCAAGATCACGTCTATATCTGCTCATTTTTCGAGGCGTCCACGGAAAAATCATATCCGAACTCCACGATAGGTTTTGATGCTCTTTTCAAGGTGGTGTCGAAACACAGACTATATGCAGCAAGGGTATCGTTATCGTCCTCGGTAGCAAACATCATGAGGTGGCGTATCGCATATGCAGTAAAGCACCTAACAATCAATAGTCATTACTATTGAGAAGTGGCAAACCCCTTCTCAAGCAGCACTTCTCGTGAGGCAACCACTATCTGACGCGTGCCTGTTTCAGTGTCACAATAAGTACGACAGCAGCGGCAAAGCTCCCCATCTTTCAGGTATCACTCGCACACGTATGCCACCTTGGGAAACCACGAGATAGAATTCTCGGCGGAATGGTACTTGTTGCGAAACTCAGATTCAGGCAACCAACACATCTGCCTTGACATTTCTTGCATGAATATCTCTGAGGAGGCAAAAGGCAGACGAAGAGGCGCTCTTAAGGAATCTCAGCGCAAAACTGGCCCAATAAGAGGTGACCATCCAGATCCTGGAACATTGGGAGGTAGAGGCTGTAAGGCGAGAAATGAAAACTTCCAATGGATTAAATGGCTTTTGCGTACGAATAACTATCCTTGCAAGGAACGGCAAGCCTGTTAGTCAAATTAGAAGGAAAAGGAAGACAGGAATGGCTGAGGTTCGAACCCCCCCCTCAAGCCCCCCTTCTCTTATATTGATGGCTTTTGAGAGAATTTTAAGTCATTTAATTCATTGGAACCGGAGTCTCTACACTGAGTGGTGGCTTGCCATCTAATCCAGCCGCTGCAATGCAATCCTATCACTCATCCCATCACATTGTTGAATACTACTCTATACCAGACAGAGTCTATAATCTAAACGCCAATGAACACCAAAAAGTCTTCTATGACTTGGGACGCGTTTTACTTTCAGACTTGTAATTAATGCAAGGATGAGGCCTAATGGCTACGCAACAACATTCCGCCTTCCGTTGGTCTGGGGTCTCCCCCTTGCTTTGCTCGCGTGTCCTTGTGCATTGCTCGGTGAGAATGAAGAGTAGGGCACCGGAAAGAAGCAGTTCCGTTCTTGAGAACATGATATCAGACCCACGTTTTTGCCTTCATTGGAAATGCTCTGTCCTATCTTGCGTGGCTCAGTCTTTCTGGAGACACGATGCATGCAAAAGCGGACACCCGGAGGAAGAAAATCCACCTACGACCCCTGCAGGTAGTCCCAGAAAAAGCGTACATGGGAGCAGGGAAAGCAACCGGTCAGAAACGCCTCTTAATTAACCTACCTTGGGTTGCCAGAGTTCTGTAAAGGAAGAAACATCAGCAAATGCGGCTCAGATGAGTGACAGCTCAAAGATAAGACGAAGTGACGAATGCTTGCAATATGCAGTTAGGCCACACTTGTAATACCGCCAACAATTCAAAGTAGTATTTCTAATAATATCGTCAAGGCGGTCAAAAGGGTCTGCTGACTTGTTGCCTTTTCCCCTATGGTGACTTGGCATATGCATGTCCCCCTGGGTGCCATCGGGAGCAGCCGCCGCCTTTTTGTGTTTCCAGGATAGATATCGTCACCGTGCAGAAGAGATATTCTCATTCCGAGGAAGCCTGAAACCGGAAGGCTCGGTGTCTATCCGGCGATGACGATATGGAGAAGTGAATCTTCATGAAGTATTCAGCAATCTATCTGCGAAACCATTCATACTTCTCAGCTTCCTTCATCCGCTCCTCCACCCGCTGTATAGTCTCCGCATCATACAACTCTTCCACGGATTTGCCTGCCTTGAAGACTTCCTTCTCGTGCCTCGTGGCCTCTTCCTTCGTCATACACACAAGATCTCCCAGGCGGATTGTAGAGCACTTTTGCTCGTCCTTGCTACCCTCGTTAATAACCGTCATACTCGAAGTCTCCGGCTTCTTCCACCTAATCAGGACAAGCCTTGTAGGAATTCCACTCAAGATGCTGCGACCGCCATACAGCTCCTCGGTCAGGAATGCCACGTCCCCAAGCGTCAGAGGCGTCTTGAGTCCGGTAGTGTCCGGCACGAACAATCGGGCGAGCTTGTCCTCAGAGCCTTGAACATAGGTGAGGATACCTTCGTACATCTTCTCCCGCGCCTTGCCCGGGACGTACGAGATAGGGTATCCCGTGATCCTGAGGATGACGTGGTTGGCAGCCGTGAGTCCGAATATGGCGGGCATTGTCCCCAGAACTGGGAGGATTCGCACTCGAAAGTTGGCCATAACTCCGAGATCACCCACAGATCCCTTCTGGAACTCTTCTTCGGGGAGTGGCAGCAGCTCAGCTTTTCCCTCGCCAGATTGCTCAGTAGAATACACGACAGGAATGCCGCTGGTAATTCCCAGAAGCTTTAGTCGTCGTCGAGTCGCGCGGGAGAGTCCGTCGTCTTTACTTATTCCAATATCGCCAATGACAATCTTGGTAGGGTCTCCCTTGCATCCCGCCCCCATACAGCTAATCACAGGCAACTTGTTATCGTAGCAGTGCTTCAACAGGGCCACCTTTGTGTCAATGTTGTCAATGGCGTCAATGATAAAGTCTGGCTTGCGGCCACCCTCTGCCCAGGGCGCCAACATCGCTTCAGCAACGTTTTGGTCAAACTTCTCCTGTCGAAGGTCGAACTTGATCCAGGGAGCAATGGCAATGAGTCGTCGGTAAAGGCATTGAACTTTGGGGGTGCCCACATCCGCCAGAGTAGCAACAGCATGTCTGTTGAGGGAACTCAGGGTCACCTGGTCGAAATCGATGAGCCGAATCTTTGAGACTCCTGACCGAGCCAGGGCAGCAGTGCAGTGTGAACCGACGCCTCCGCAACCCACTACTATGACGAACGAGTCCCGCAGCTTCTGTAGACCCTCGGGAGTAAGGAAAACCTGGTTGCGGGCGAGTTGCTCTAGGATAAGTTCCTCGTCAAAGTCGCCAGCTTGCGCACGCCTAGCCAGGGCAATGTTTCGAGCATCTTCAGGGTCCAGTCCTGATTCTGATGAGGCCCCAAAACTGTTCAACTGTAGAAATGATAAGCTTCGAGTAATTTTGTAGACTCAAGGGCTCAACTTACCCTTCCAGAGCGGCCATTGTCGTTTGAGAAAGACGGTATTGAGCTCTTCAGTTCCGATAGACGCTCCTCTCTTTCCAAGGCTTGGTAGCCGAAGATGAGTCCAGCTACAGCGGCCCCAGAAGCAGCTGCTGTTGCCAACAGCTGAATCCGAGGATTTGAAATGGTGTCTGTTAAGAATGAAGGCATGACGGTCACATGCTGTACTTCAAAAACATTCCAAGTTCTCTTCTTCAAAAGAATCAGATACTAGACTATTTGATAGGCTCACACGCACGCAAGCAATCGGCCCACTAAAGAATTTTGTGGTGATGAGTCAGCCAGGCTTAACCCACCTTGGCCGGTGAGGTCAGACAAAAATGATGCTCCAAGACTCGATTGTCGCAACCCTCAATAAGGCTGAGAAGAACCAATCTCTCTGCCAATTGCTCCGCCTCTCCCCAGCCCGGGACTTCGGTTCCTCCAGCCCAGCGCTGCCATGGCTCCCAGATTAGTGACCCGGAGGCTCGCGCTTCATCCCGCAGGCTCTCGACCGCGATGCCTGAGAAGCTTCGCCATTCAGTCCCGCCTCACGACGACAACGAACCGCTCACGACCGATCCTCCCCTTCCTCTTCATACCCAGATCGAGCCCAAACTCAGTACGGCGCTTCACATCCGAGCGAAAGCGGTGGTGGAAACATGAGGCGAAGCTGGTCGTGCGCTACACGCTGACGCTCTGGGGAGTCGTCATCTGCGTCTTGACCATCTTCTTCGCCTTCAACGAAGAGGCCATCGAGAGAGAGTTCCCGACGCCGCCCGAATGGCACTACCTGACGAGAAAGTTCCTCCGCGACGCGAACAACTTCAAGGACCCAAAGAACGGCCACATCAACTGGGCGCGGGCGCTGGAGCTCTCGCGCGGCGTCGTCATCCGGCTGGAAGACCCCGCGGTGGACGGCCAGGATGTGGTGAAGCTATCGGACGCAGTTGATCCCCGGCTGGAGGTGCCGGGCGAGTTCATCGCATGCGACATCTCGGCCAAGTCGGAGGAGTGGCGCAGGGGCTACTTCGAGGCCATCATGCTCGCCGCCAAGGCCGCGGAGCACGTCGACGGCTGGCTGCGAGACACGACGCGCAACATCGTCACCCCTCCCGAGTTCGTCATTGGACCGTCGAACCCTCACCCGACCCCGATCCCGCCGGGGAACCCGTCCGCCCCGCGCGAGGAGGACTGCGAAACCGCCTACCCCTCCGCCGACAACTGGTATACCAAGATCCTGGCGACCAAGGGCCTGACCCCGCGCCAAAAGGTGCAGGCATGCCTGGAATTCGCCAGCTTCATGGAGTTCAAGAATAACACCGAAGGCGCCGACTCTCTCTACCAACTGGCCCTGGCAGAGGCAACCTCCGGCCTGGACCCCAGGAAGTTGCCCTACGACCCAATGACCTTGATCCTTAAGGAGCGTGCTGAGCCTCCCTCCTTGAACCTCCTTGACGCCCTCACAGCCACAGCCAACCATATAGCCCGCAAGGGCGACGTCACCTCCGCCCTACCAATCTACCTCTCCATCCTAAAAGCCCGCCGCTCCCTCTCCGACGATCCTCCCCGCGCAGCCACCCCCAAACGCAAACCCCAATCCTTCACCAGACAGATTCTCAGCTTCTTTGCTCCTCCTGATTACCCCCCTCCTCCCCCAGACGGCACCCAGCCTCCCTGGCGAAGCCCTTTTGAGCGCTGCCAGGAAGCCGCTCTCAACCTCTACATTGGCGAAATCCTCTACGCGACGGGCTCCAAAGACGACGGCCTAGCCTGGACAAGAGACGGCGTGGATCTGGCAGAGGAGCAGCTCCGAAGCCCGAAACTCAGCCAAGACACCGCCCGCGAGGCAAAGTCCACGTGCAGAAACTGCCTGTCCACGGGGCTGGACAACTGGTCCGTCATGGTATCGAGACTGGCAAGGGAGGAGAAGAAGAAGAAGGCGTCTGGCTCTCCGTCGTCCATGTTCTCCTTCTGGAGCGGCGGGTCGTCGCAGGACTCGGAAAGTCGCTGGGAGGCAGAGGAGGTGGTGATCCAGGACCGCATGAAGCGGACGCGGGAGCTGTTGGAGGATGTGCAGGCACCAAAGCCGGGCATTGTGTCCTTCTTTAAGGTATAATTGCTTTCATTCACTATTGTGCTGGCTACCATGGGGTTATGAGGTTGGTTATTCATTGCCGCAAATGTATCAAAATGTGCTGTCCGATAAAAGGACTTGCAGAATGTCATGTATTATTATTATTATTCATTGGAAATGGCAAATAATTGCTTCCCATCATATCTCAAGTTCACTTCCAAGAGGATGTAGACCTCAGCGTATGTCTGCCAAAGCACGGAAGAAATGCCGAACGAAAACCATCATCCTCAATATCACCCCCTTAGATGTCTGAGTCCGACTCCGAGTCTGTGTCCGGAGCCACTCCTGTCTCTGCAAACTTCTTCCAGCGCCTCGCTTGCTTCAACTCTTTCTTCAACTCGGCCGGATCAGCCTTGGTAATCACTGGCTTGTCGTGCTCGGGTAACTCGTTCCAGTCCTGTTCAGTCAGAGCAGGGCGCAGGCAATCAGCCGCCGTAATGACGTGATTCTGGTAATCTGGGTTCAGAGCAACATACTGGAGATGCGAGAGGATGTGAGATCGTGCCTGGATGAGAATCATTTCGACGTAGGACGGCTCGGAGGAAGAGACGCATGGAAAGCCCATGGGGAGGATACTGAGCTCCGGGTTGCCTTCAGGGGGGGCCAGAGGGACTCCGGGGGGCTCAGAGCAGAGGAGATAGCCACGAGCTCTCTGGAAATGACTGTGTTAGCCCGAATACTTTTGCTGAGGCAAGAGGTCGACCACATATCATACCTTGGCCAAAAAATCCTTGAACTCTCCGTTCATCAACCCATCTGCCTCAAACACCGGGCCCAGCAGGATCAGAGAACCGAGTCTCTTTCCCCAAGCATCCCAGGCTTCTTTGCCATCCAGAAACTTTTCCACAATCTCGCACGCCTCTCCAACAGCCACGACATCCACCACTACCTGATCGCCTGCCATAGAACCAAGCACCTTGTCAAAAATAGACCTGACATGCTCCGTCGGATTCTCATGGCCAGGGATCCTATTCAGAGACGGCACTTCCCGAATCCCTCTATGCAACAAGCTAGGCAGCGGCAAAGCCGCGCTCGCGGAAACGGTAATGGCCCTCTTTCCCTCAGGCCACCAGTACGTCTGGCCCGTGTTCGCCAGGACGATACCCGGCGGAGAGGCGTCGTCGGGAGAGGAGCGCTGCGATGCGAGGGCGCGAACCACCGAGACCATGCTCCCTTCATTGATGCCTCCGGGTCCGTTTGCCACGCGGCCGGCCACGAGACCGAGCTCCTGCGTAGGTTCGCCGAAGATGACGACGATGCGGGTTTTCGTCTCGAGGTTTGGGGTGATGAAGATGGGTATGTGTGGCTCTGTGGCGGGTGCTCCTTGGGGGAGACAGATTTTCTGCATGCCTTCTTTTTCCAGACGTTCGTGGACGATGGATTCCATGGCATCTACAGAGCATCGTACTGTCAGCTATATGCTACCAGAGGTAGTCATCATTCGTAGGCTGGGCTATGATGCAAGCAGCTCACGGTTGAACGCAAAGCGCTGGCGAGCGCAAATTCGCGGGTTGCGATTAATGAAGAACTTGAAGTAATTATCCGGGTCCTCAATAGAGCGAATCTCATCCTCATCGTTGATAAAGTATCTATTTCAAGCCATCAGTCGGAGACACAAAACGAAGATGGAAGCCATGAAGTTGGAGGAAGCAGCAGATCAGGGAGACAAACCCAAGGCCCTTGAGATCAGAGGGGAAAGTAACGTCCTCTGGGAGGCCGGACCACAGACGACGAAACATGACTGCAGCTTCTCCGTGCCTCTATCCTCTACTTGAGGAGATTGGAGAGTAAAAGAAAATAGGCAAGAAGAATGCCCTTTCTTTCACCATGGGTGCTTGTGAGGTGGAGAGGAGATAATCAGAGTTGGTAAGCAGTTGGGAACAACCTGATGCGCAAAGAAGGAGATAAAAGCAGATTAACAGTTTGGAGTTCGTGCCTCAGGAACCTTGTGTGCCTTGCGAGCTAAGTAGGGACACGGAGACATTGATAGAAGCTTTTCGAGTGTTGAATGCGCAGAGCCGAGTGCCAGCTGTGAGCAGCCGTCGACAAAGAGCAAGCACGTATGTTACCGACTGCGCTGTCAGTGCCAGTGCAGCTCTGACCGCAACATAACGCTGCTACCAAGGTTGGTATGTGACAGAGAAAGGAGGTGATGCAAGCATCTACCAGCCGTATATCTCATCTCGCCTTAGAGACCTGGTCGTTTTAAACAAATATTCATGATTTAGATGAGAGTCGTAAGGCATCAAGCGAGAGAGAAATGCCCAAGAAATCTTGGCTACTCTACTAAGGAAGAACCATGCCATCTCCCGGACGCATGATCAGCAAGCACACACTGACGTCCTGCTCACATTCATTCCGTGGATTACTGTCATCAAGGTGTCACCAAACTACCATTGATCCAACCAGATAACGCCACACCATCCATATTATGAAGCTTTCCCAAACACCCGACTAAATCAACCCGTAAGCATACACAACGCCCGAGCCACAAACTTCAATGGAGGGATTAAAAGGTCAGCGGCTTCGAAATGGAAAGCTGAAGCGACTTGCGCTGCCGCGATCCATCCGGCTCGCTAGAGCTTCCTCCATGGCGGACCGCGTAACTGATGCATCTGTATCCACGAACATGTTAGACAAGTCTTGCAAAGATGGTCAGATACAAGGGCATACCATCCAAGTCACTAAAGCTACTGCTGATGCTAGGCGTGCCCTCACTATTGTCCCGCGAGCTTCGAGTGTCTGTTGCGCGACGAGAAGGGGACGACGGGTCTGCGTTGTTGCTCTCTCGTGCCTTGACCGGCCGCAGCGGCATGGCAGGGGAGCTCGCTGATGAGTCGGAGGTCTGTGAGTGGTGAGACTCTTTCGCGAATGGCCTTGGATTGCGCCTCGCCCCGCTGCGGCCATCTCCGCTCCTCAGCTTCAGTGTGGACGACAGGTCCGGCGACGAAGGCCCAGCAGACGGTGCGTTATACGGTCTAAACGCAGGCTCCGATTCGTCATCCTCGTCGCCGGGGTAGCCAGCATAAGAGTCCTGCGGCGGCTGATATCGTGGTGGTCGGCGGATGATGCGGGACTGGACCGCTAATGATTCGTCGTCGGATGAGGAAGATGAGCTCGACTCGGCTGGGCCGGGTGAGTTCGCTCTGTTGGTTTCGGCAACGGGTAGTTCGGGAGACTTGGGAGACGGCGACGGAATGGGCAGCGATGACAGCCGCGTCCGCGCAGCCTGATCAAGCGCTCGCAGGCTGGGACGAGTGCCTATCCTCGGGGAAGCGCCGCCGCCATCCCTCATAACTGTCGTGGTGGCCGAGGTATTGCGAGACATAGCCGGGCGAATCGGCGAGTTGATGGCAGGGCCAGGGGCGCCGCTCTCGTTTCGCAGCGTGGACACATCGCGGCGGATCGACAAGGCCGACGGCGTCCTCAGATGTCCTGCGTCGGCTCCAGGAACGGGCGACTGCGTGGCCGAGCCTTTAGCTGCGGCCGTGGCTTTTCGAACTTGGGCGAGGAAGTGAGACTGGTGTCGTTCGTTCAGGTAGGCCACCTGCTGTACCAGGAAGTCGACGGGGACCTCGAACCGGTCGGCGCTGGGAATGGTCAGTCGGCAGTTCAGGAGAATGGATCGGCACGGCATGTGATGGTGGGAGTCGCATACACTAGGTTCCCTGAGCATCTGTTAGCAAGATCATCTTCGGCCTCTCAACATCTGCTGCAAAGGGGGCCCATCATACAGTCTATCTCCTTGTGGCCGGAGAGAATCTTCCAAAGAGCTTCGTCTTTGGCGGCATCCCAACTGACCTGGGCGGGCGTGTTAGCAGGTGTCGCGATGTTGTCACTGCTGCAGATGGAGCTATGCGGCAGACATGGATGGAGTAGTAGAGAGGCGTACGGGAGGTGGATCGACGAATCCCCGGCGAGGGATGGGAACCCTGATGAAGACTGTGTACTGAGGCTCTGCCATGGAGTGCGGAGGATAAAGAAGAAGAGGCGAAAGAGAATCGGAATGGGAAAAAAGAAGAAAAGGGAAAAAGAGGGAGGATGAAGGAGATGACGAAGGTTGAAGCTTACCTTGTAGGACTGGTCCGAGATGCCGTAAAGGTTCGAGGTTACATGTACGAGGTACCCTGCGGATACGTAGCGCCTAGCGGCTCAGCGTGCAGGAGACGCTGCATTAGCGCTGTAGGAACCACCTGGCGGTACCTGCTGGGCGACGCCGTCAGGGGCTTTCTACTGGGCGAGGCGCTGTGGCCGGTGCGCTGTGAGGGGGGCGTGACACGGCAACTTGCAGCATCTTGGCTGGCAGATTGTGATTGCACGAGGAGGCACAAGTGATTGATGCCTGTCTGTATTCACGTCCGGGGATGCCCATTTCTGGATGATATAAGGAGCTAATATTTCTTGTCTCTCTGTCGAATGTGTAGTAGAATGACAGGATCAGTCGCTTTGAGCCTCATCATGTGCCGTCAATGATGATGTAATGGCGCAATGTATTGGGCTGATGATGCTGCTCAAAAGATGAAGCAATCACGTCAAATCTCCATGTCCAGTTGAGCAACAGCGCCGTGAAACCCAAGTGCGCATCATCTGCAGATGCGGCTTGATGAACCAAGCGAGGGAGTTGTATTCTGGGATTAAGGTACAGTAGGACAGCCAACATGGCATATTTGACGCTGCCCTTACACATAGCTTCAGACGGATACCTTAGCACTGGGTCGAATGTGATGGATGGCATATTGGGTGTAAGGTTCAATAGTGGCAAGCCATTGAGCATCGCGGTGTGCTGCAACTCGTATCGGCAAGCGGCACCACCAAAGAGATGGTCCATTCAACATATATGCGATAACATCCAGTTCTCTAGGTATTCCTTGGGTTGCGTGTTGATTGAGTTAGGTGTATGAAGTGTTTACGCAACTGTCAAAGAGACAAGCCTCATGCTAGTCAATCCACTTTCCCCAGCACAATGTAACCTCGACCACGAATAAGGCCAACTCCATGCTTCCATGACATACATACATACCTCTCACAAACATCCCAGCCTCAGCTACTCACATTCAGCCCAATAGCTACTTACCTATCTCTAGTTACTCTACGCCATATCAGCAGCATCGACCAGTCACTTTGTCCATCTCATCGCCTGGCCTCGCCCCTCCCGCATTTGGTCTAGGGTATCCAGACCGTCCAAACTTGTCAGCCCCTCGGCGGGGTCAGATCCCGACGTCTGCCCGTCCAGTATCATCTGTCCCGATAATAGCTGGCAAGCTACGCAACAAATATAGCTGGGCGCTGCTCAACGTTGCACCGACGTCTCCCGAATCGATTCCCTGCATTTACGTCTTCTCTCCCATTAACCCGCGATAAGACCCGGCGCCTTATCTGTTCTACTTCCTGTAGGTACGGCATCTGCCTGATCTCACCTGGTGCTGCTCGTCGCGGACAGTCGCAAAAGCCGCAACGCGGTTGATGGCTAACACATGTCATCACATACAGAAACGCAGAGAACAATCTTGTGTCTCGACGGGTGACGAAACAGAGTCGCATCCCAGTGCTTGGCGGGGGAGTTGACGCATCCATCGACCTCTACTTACAATCGAACACGCGAAAGCCCAACTGCCGCCATGGTCGTCTCGGAGCTGACGGCGTCTGCCGTCGCCATGAAGTCCTCGCCGCCATCGGAGAGAGGCGAGAGCAGCAGCAACAGCATAGAAGCAAAGCTGCAGCCTCTCCAAAACTGCGCGAAGCAGGGCAGCTCGCCATTTGTCAAGGCCTATGCCGACAGTCTCGTGGCGTGGCAGCTGCTGGACAACGAGGCTGTTGAACGGGCGAGGAGGGAGAACAAGCTCATCTTCCTGCACATCGGATATAGGGCCTGTCACTGTGAGTATGCTCCCGCCATCCGCTGGATTTCGCTGACGCATTCCCAGTCTCTCGCCTCATGGCTATCGAGTCCTTTATGAATCCCGACTGCGCCGCCGTCCTGAACCACTCCTTCATCCCCATCATCGTCGACCGCGAAGTCCGCCCCGACATCGACACCATTTACATGAACTACGTCCAGGCCGTCAGCAACTCTGGAGGATGGCCGCTGAACCTCTTCCTCACGCCTGAGCTGGAGCCCGTGTTTGGCGGCACCTACTGGCCCGGCCCCAGCGTCGCCAGGAGGGCCACAGAGGAGCACGGCGACGAGCCCTTGGACTTCCTCGTCATCCTGAAGAAAGTGCGCAACATCTGGAAGGATCAGCAGGCCAGATGCCGCAAAGAGGCAACCGAGGTCATTGGCCAACTGCGTGAATTTGCGGCCGAGGGCACGCTGGGGAAACGAAGCATCGCGGCTCCACAGCAACAGCAGATCGCTCCCGCTGGATGGGCTGCTCCGGCGACCAACCAGCCCGCGGCCAAGGCGGGCGAGAGCAGCGCCGTGTCCAGCGAGCTGGATCTTGACCAGCTCGAGGAGGCTTATACACACATTGCCGGGACGTTTGACCCGGTGTATGGCGGATTCGGACTGGCACCCAAGTTCCTGACGCCGCCCAAGCTGGCCTTTTTGTTGAACCTTGTCAACTTCCCCTCTCCAGTCCAGGATGTCGTGGGCGAGGCCGAGTGTAAGCATGCACTGGACATGGCTGTGGATACCCTGCGCAAGATTCGCGATGGCGCACTGCACGATCATATTGGGAGGACTGGTTTTGCTAGGTGCTCAGTGACCCCCGATTGGAGCATACCCAACTTTGAAAAGATGGTGACCGATAACGCATCCCTTCTACAACTATACCTCGAGGCGTGGCAAAGGAGTGGTGGGAAGGAGGACAGCGAATTTTACGATGTCGTCGTCGAGCTTGGCGAGTATCTTACATCTCCGCCCATTGCCCTGCCCAACGGTGGCTTTGCCTCCTCTGAAGCTGCCGACTCATCCGCGAAGAAGGGAGACGGTGAGAAGAGAGAGGGAGCATACTACCTTTGGACGCGGCGCGAGTTTGCTTCCGTTGTCAATTCTGAGGACGGACATATTAGCCCCATGGTGGAAGCCTACTGGGACGTGCAGGAAGACGGAAATGTGGACGAAGACCATGACCCGAACGACGACTTTATCAACCAAAACATTTTGAGGATACGGAAAACGCCCGAAGAGCTGAGCAAGCAGTTTAATGTTCCCGTCGAGACGGTGAAGAAGAACATTGAAACTGCCAGAATGGCTCTAAAGAAGAGGCGAGAGAAAGAGCGGCCGCACCCTGATGTGGATGACAAGGTTGTCGCTGGCTGGAACGGGCTGGTAGTATCGTCTCTGGCGCGGACGTCGACGGCCTTGAAGGAGCTCAACCCGGAGAAGAGCCAAAAGTACCTGAACAAAGCCAAGGAGTGCGTGGCCTTTATCAAGGAGAAGCTGTGGGACGTGAAGAACAAGATCCTGTACCGGATATGGAGCGACGGCAGGCACACTGAAGGTTTTGCGGACGACTATGCGTATCTGATCCATGGTCTTTTGGACCTCTTTGATGTTACCGGCGACGAAAGCTACGTTGAATTCGCCGACGAGCTGCAGAGTAAGTGTTTCCATCTTCGGCCGTTTCCCGATGCCACGTACTAATTTTTTTTTTCCCCAGAAACCCAAGTTTCGCTCTTCTACGATCCCGCCGGAGCTTTCTACTCGACAACCGCAAACTCTCCGCACACGATCCTGCGTCTCAAGGACGGCATGGACACGTCCCTGCCTTCCACCAACGGCGTCTCCGTGTCCAACCTGTTCCGATTGGGCGAGCTGCTGGAAGATGAGAAATTCACTGCCTATGCACGGGAGACGATCAACGCCTTTGAAGCCGAGATGCTGCAGCACCCATGGCTGTTCCCCGGCCTGCTGGGCGGTGTCGTAGTGGCCAGGCTGGGATTGGGCCTGGAGAGGAAGACTATGAATGTGCGGTACAAGGCGACGCGGCAGAAGGCATAATGTTGCCGTCTCGTTCCCCCCTGACTGTCGTTTTCTGTTATGACTTGATGCGGGTCGGCAATGGATTTGGATTAGGGTCGGGGAGTTTATTCTTTTACGGCCCTGTCTTTTGTTAATATCTTGATCTTTGATCCCTTCTCCATGGGTTTATTGGCTGCCTTGGATCTGGTTTCTTTGCGTTTTGGATGGAAGGGGACAAATAAGGATGAGGTTATGGCAAAACAAAACTCAACTTTCATATCAGGTACCTATATATAGACAAATCAACGTGTGAAACAGGATCCTCTTTGCTCTCCATCAAGAGTCATAAGAATGATGCAAGTCTTCACTTTAGGTCGTCATCTTTCATCCTTATCATTAAAGGGTATCTATTTCTACAAGTTGCATGGATTTGATTTTGCCTCACTCGCGCCAACCGACACCATCCTTCCACCCCCGGCCCCCCTTATTCCCTTCCCTTTCCCCTTGACCAGAATAAACCCTTTCTTTTTTTTCCAAGCATATTAACCTTTCCCCTCTTGCTCTGAAAATCTTTCACATAAGCCATGCTTGCTCGCTCATAGAGAAACAAAAACTAGCTGCTTGCTTGTAATCAGAAAGACGAATGATTCATGTTCTCACCAGCCACACACACACAACCAGCTAGGTACGCCAATCCAGCCCAACCAATCTTTCTCCTCTCTTCAATATCAGCGCCCACCATCACCCGCGCCCGCCGTCCTGTTCATCAACCCTGAGAAGAAATCATGCAGCTGCTCGTTATCAAAGTCCTTGGCCATGTTACTAACTGCGGCCTCTGGCTCGGTCGAGGGAGCATCGGCTGCGATGTGTGCATTGCGGTCCTGTAGCAGAAGAGAAGGTTAGATCCTCCTTTTTTTTGGGGGGGGGTTTGAGGAAGAAGAGGGAGGGGGGATAATCATTACCTTAAGGCGTTGCAGCATATCGTCAGCGTCGACCTGAATGCCGCCCATATTGAACTGCACCGGCCCAATATGCTCATTCACAGTCTTCTCGTCGCCGTAATCCACCTTCCGCGCGGCCCCGGAAGCGGAGCCATCCGTCGCCTTTTCCGGTACCTTTGACTTGTACGCCTCCAGAATCTTGAGCTGTCGCTCCAGGAACTCCTGCGTGTCTTCGCTCTCGACCGCCACTTCCGTCCCCTCGTTCATGGCGCTCTCTACAAGGGCGAGCCCTCCGCTGTTCGGATTCTTGCACCAGTCCTCGTAAAGGGCAATGGCGCTCTCCACCTGAGGAGGCTGGCCGGAGCCATTTTCGTCGTCGTCTTCGGGGTCGGGGAGCGCTATGCTTGGAGGTGGGGCGCCGAGGGGTATCTTGATATCCTCGGACCAGTATTGAGACACCTTTTCCGTATCGAATGAGCCGCCCAGAACCCTAATCTTGCCCCATGAGTCCCAGTTCGGGGGGACAACAATCTTATCTCGGTCGATGACATTGTGCTTCAGGGGTTGGCGCTTCAGAAGAGAGGTGATGCCAAGGGTTGAATGGATGAGAATGGGAAGTTGAGACGTTGTGCCTTGTGATGTGTATATGAGAGAGGCGCCGTCTAAGTCATGGTCAGCAACTTCGAATGCTGAAGAAGCGGCTATCACACTTACGTCTCAGCAGGACTGTTCGTAAATTTTGCAGCACTCCGTCAAAGTCCGGCTCTTTCCACCCTTTGTTCTTCTCCAGGAAGTCAATCTTTTGCGACTAAAGTACTTGTGTTAGCAAACCGAAAGCGCGCAGAGGGAGGGCCGTGGAATCAGGCTCACGTTCTGGCACACAACACATAATGGCAGCCCAAGAGGCTCAGTCCACTCGCCGGGACCAAGCGGTAGTGAGCCATTGCTATCGCCATTGGCGACAGTCGCAGAGGGCGTGCCGTCCAGGTTGACCGACGAGCCTCCTCTTCCCCTCTCTTTCCATGCGTTCATGACGTCTTCCATCTCGGTCTGCACATCCCTGCTCAGATGCTCCAGAACCTCTTGAAACACCTGCAACCAGGTCCAGATCTGTCGCAGCCATAGATGAGGGTGCGACCAGTCCAACAGTATTACCAGCGCCGTGTTCGGTATCGTCTCGGGCGTAAGCAATGGGGCGATGAGGGAAGCGAACTCGCCCGAGGGCTGGGAAAGGAGGTAGAGAGAAACTCGAGCAAGCGTGTCTATGCAGTCTATCAGTCACCAGCGCCTTGTCGACGATCCGGCAATTCGCGGGGAAAGGTTGGCTAACCGTCTTGATCCGCGTCGAGAACATCGTAATACGTATAGCCCAGGGCATAGTTGTTCGCAATCGGCGGGATCTTTTGCCGGTCAAAGTTGCGCCTCGGTTCGGATCCGGCCAGCGATTCCAGAAACTCCCGTTGCGATTCCGGAGTGCCTCCTGAAGTGAAACTCGGTCAGTGAATCCGCCCGACTAGCTGGAGGATTGCTCCCCTATACACAGGGAGAAACGCCCGCTCGTACCCAAGACCAAGAGGTTCTTTTCCGGTAATCTCTTGCCGCTGGCAACTGACTCTAGCATTGACGTCCACAGATTCCTCTTGGGCTCGCCATTCTGACTGTCGCTGTTCCTCGACGTCATGGTATATGTCGATATCCTGTTGGCCATGGCTGCGAGTCTCCGCACCGCCGAGTTGGCAGCGTCCTTAGGCCCGAAATGCGTGTGAAGAAGAAGGCAAACGGTCGCCGAGTTGGAGCATGTGCGTGTCCGTCTAGACCGTACGCGTTGATCCGGCCGCGGGGTTGTTTAGGGGGGAAACGCTCGCGCTTGAAGTCGTAGCAGCAGTTCGTTCCTAAGGTAAGGTGGGATGAGAGAAGGTCTAGGGATCTTGGTGGAGCATCGTGCTCAAGATGCCAACAATGATGCGACGTGGCGGGAAAAAGAAGCTGCCAGCAAGCGAAAATTACCACTGTTGCTCGTCAAGCTACAGCTCAGAGTTCAAGAACTGTGAAGCCTATGCCTTGGAGGGCGAGAGATTTCCAGATAGCTGCAGCAGCAGCGTTTCCTTCATCGGGACCGATTCGAACAAGGGTCGCCTGTGCTGCTTTGGGGAGGGCCGGAGATGACCCGGGACAGCAACACAGCGCTAACGAAGGCCTAGCGGCAGCGGTCGTCAGACGTTATGGGGGAGCTCCAGGCCGCTCTAGTGGGCAGCCGGTCACTAAAGCTCGCAGCCTTGTTTGATGAGCCGACATCACCGCGATTGAAGCACAGAGCTCAGCCTTGCATCATTTTGGGCAATTGATCGCTTGAAGACGGCAAGGAGAGTCAACTGTAGCAAAGTCCATCTCGAGCGCAGAGCAACATGAATCAAATACGCGCCATCCAGGAGCTCAACAAAAAGGAGATTGAAAACGGAATGTAAGTTCCCATGGCCCTTTGATCAGCAAAAGTATCGATCACATGGCGAAAGCTGACTCTATGGCAGCTCTCCAAACGCGTCCTGGCATGTCGACTACCGCGATACAGCCTTCGTCTACTTTGGCGGCCTCCCCTACGATCTCTCCGAAGGCGACATCATCACCATCTTCTCCCAATACGGCGAACCCGTCTTCCTCAAACTCGTCCGCGACAAGGAGACGGGCAAGTCAAAGGGCTTTGGCTGGCTGAAGTACGAAGACCAGAGGAGCACCGACCTCGCAGTAGACAATCTAGGCGGCACAGAAATCGGCGGACGACTGCTTAGGGTGGACCATGCACGATACCAGCCGCGAGACGACGAGGACCAGGAGCAGTTCAAGGTTGGCTGGGAAGATATCCAGCGCAGGGAAGGCAAGGCTGTGTCCGACGAGGAGGAGGACGAGAGCGGCAAAGAGGAGGTGCAGAGACCGCTTCTGCCTGAGGAGAGGGAATTGGCGCTCTTGATGCGAGACCACGACGACGATGACCCCATGAAGGACTTTTTGATTGAGGAAAAGAAGAAGGAGGTGGAGGAAGCTCGACGGAGAGCGGATAAGAAAGAGAAGTCAGAGAGTCACAGGCATCACAGGCATCACAGATCAAGACGGGATAGGGACGATGATGATGACCGACGGGAAAGATCACGGAGGGATGACAAGTCAGGGGAGAAAGAAAAGCGAGTGGAGGGCGAATCGAGACGACATCGACACAGAGACGACTCGAGAGATCGTCACAGGCGACACAGAGATAGATCTCGAGATGATTCACAGGATCCTGAAAGACGGCGGGAGAAGAGATCCGAACGCGATGACAGATCTCACAGAAGAGACGACGAGCGCGAGAGACACAGGAGGCGGCGAGAAGATGAAGACGACGACGACCGCAGGAGAAGATCGCACCGCAAGAGTAGAAGCCGGTCTCCTCGGCGTCATCAAGATTAGAAAATTATCCAAAGCCCTCATACTATCAATACCCAAAAAGCAAATCGTTTCCCACACTCGACTGAGCAGTCATAAATCTGCTCTGAACAAACGCCGTACTTCCTCCCGCTGCATCTAAAATAAATCATCTTCCCTGTATCCCTGTGTAGTAGGCAGTCCGTATATTTCTTCCTTTACGAAGTTCCCAGATATCGCTTCCAGCCCTCGCGGACACAGTGACGCTTTCCGTCCTCACCTGTAACCAGCGTAAACTTTTCCCACTTTGCCTGTTGGCCTGCGCCGACAACCACGAGGCTGTCTTCGCTGATCCACCCAATGATGCCCTTGGGTGGCCTCGTGGTACCCAGAGCAGTGGCCTCGGAAAAAGGGATGCCGCCTAACGTGGATTCGTTACCGGCGTCAAAGGGCGCCGAGGTAAAGGAGTAGACGTCGGAGAAGACTCGTGGCATATAGGGGAGCCTGCTAAGGATGCCCCATTTGCCCGGGTCTGCCTCCTGGGCTTGACCGCTGTGCTGAGAGCTGCGAGCGCCGCCCGTTCCCTTGTTGGGCTGAGGCACGTCAAAGATGTGCAGCGTCGCCTTGTCGGAGGTGCAGGCCAGCAATGATCCAGACGGCGAAAAGGCGAGGGAGAATATGGTCGCCGGATCAATGCCCCTGCGGAGCTCCGCTATTCTCGCACAGTTACTGGTAGAATAGACGCGGATGAGGGTGCCCGTTTCGCTGGCGCTCGCCAACAGCTCTCCGTCGGCACTGAGCTGGATGGCCCTGAGGGCAGATGAGTGAGCCGGGATGATACTGACGTTGCCGGTGCTGAGGTCGACAATTTGAATCTGTCCAGTAGTGCGGCCCGGGAAAGCTAGCTTCTTTTCCGAGAGACTGCAGAGGCCGAGCAGATTGTCCGCCGTTTCGTAGTTGTGAAGCAGCTCGGGGGGTTTGGAGAAGGTGTAGACGCGCACGCTGTTTTGAAGGACGATGGCGATGTGCTCTCTACTCAGCTGGGCGCCGCGGATGGCGCTGACGGCTGTGATTTCCAACGCAATTTTCCCCTTCAGGTCGTCCCAGATGATGGCCTACACGTACACCGCGTCAAAAAACCGCGATTTCCGCATACCCTAAACCGAAGTGAGTGCTCACCTTGTTGATGGCGAACTTGGGAGATTTACCGCCGCCGGCCAGGGCGAGGTAGTTTGATGTGCCCATCATTTGGACGAGGCCGATGCCAGCGTTAAAATCTTGTCAGATGTTAGCTATTATGGACGTCATCAGAGCATAAGAGCCACGACAGCATCAACCTCTCGATCCCTTGAGCTGGCATGATTTGGTTTGAAAGACTAAGTCACGGTTAGCCGGCTGTTGAGAGTCTCGTCCAACATGTTCCCATGGCATACCGCATATCCCTGATTCCAAGCCCACGGAAAAACAGCTCGCATCCTTGTTGAAGGCCACAAAGAGAACCGCCGTGGGCGACGACGACTCTATCGGAAGCCGTACATTCATAGCGGCGAAGCGGCCTCACACCGAGAGCAGCGGATGCCTTCAGATGAAGTCAGAAAGCGGTGATCAGGTGAGCTGTGAGGTTGGATCCCGATAACACCCGAGGCTTTCTGTGAAGAAGAAGATCAGACTTGTTGCTCGCCTCGTCTGAGCGGGTGTCTGCAGCGAGGAATCGCCTACCTTTGACTGTTGTTTTGATGATAATGGCGATGTTCGGCAATCTCGAGCGGACTGCGACTGGGTCCCGTCAGCTGTCCGTTTTGGGCAGATTCGGTATGGCTAATAATAGCCTGCAGTGAAGATGGGGATTTGGTACCTGAGGCCGGAATATATCGAAGTGAGCAGGGATCGTCAGTGTCTTTCAAACAGCCGGATGGGTTACGAGCGATGGACAAGGCGGATATCGGTGTGTCCCTGATGAGCGCACATTGGATGGATGATGCACAGGGCCTGGCTTGGTTATGTATGCTGGCCTCGGTGCTTTAATGCGGAGGCGACAGCAGTAGCGGGATGCTGAGAGTTCAGTTCCAGGCTGTCGGAAGCTTAAGGTCGAGCTCGGCGCTAGGGATCCGCCGGCTGGAGGTGGCACAGCGCTAGAAGGCTGTCCGTTGCCCCTTTCGACGTCTGGTCTGGGGACGTTGAGCAGGTGAAGGTACGCACAGCTACCGAGGCATGTACCATCTCAATTCTGACGTGGTTCAGAGCAGTAAGTAGGGCTGTTCTATCTATTGCGACTTGAACAGAGAGCTTCCAATGCTCTCCGAAGGCTTCTCTATGTATATGATGATGAAGCAGCTGTGAGTATCTTGTATCGCCAGTAATGCTACGACGCAAGTACTCTAGCTAGGATTGGAGAGCTCAACCAAGATGTGCCAAAGCCTTGAAGGCTGTAGCTTCGTGGAATCAACGGAGGAGAACCTCTGTATTGTCATCCTTGCAAGTCAGTATCAGCACCAAGGCATTCGCTCATGCTGCTTGTGCTTCATCGGTGAATACCGCACTGCATGTCGACGTCGAGGCTGATGGCAAACAATGCGCGGTGCGACTTACAAGCTGCTGTGTTTCCCGGTGAATTTCCGAAGAGGCCCATACTTGTACGACGCAGCTGTCCAAATCGCGATGGTAAAAAGGCCACCCCATCATTTCAATCATTCACCAGGCACGGAGGAAATAAAGTACGAGGATCTGCCACAGTTGCAGCTGGGACGCTCGCACGGAGATTGGCGCAAACGTGCTAACAGCCTCTACCCATGCCAGTTCAATATTCAGCTGCAGATATCAAGTTCCGTCTGATAGTGCAGGCGTGCCTTTCCGGGCTAGCGCCGCTCCGCTGGCAGCGTCGCACCAGGCCCCAGAGCCAATGGACACTGTCCACTGGCAGCATAGGGGCTTGGGGGGAGCTACAGCCGGGGGACGTGGCAGGGGCGGTCTGCCTGTTCTAGGCCTAGGCTGGGCGTTGGTGGCCCCTGAGGGAACGCCGCAAGAGCAGGTGAAATTGCACCCAGACGCCAGAACAACGCCTTCTTCCCCTTTAGCACTTCTCCTGGTCCTCCAGCTCTTATCACCACCACCGCACCAATTCTCCCCGTTTCCTCCTGCAAGAGCTTCGACTTGGCACAGCCTCTGCCTCTTGTCTCCTCGCTCCAGCTTCTGCAACCGCTCCGTCGCCGCTCTAGGGCCTTCTCTGCCACAACTCGCCTTCCATGATGTCCTCCGTACGTGTGCTCTCTCCGTTTCCCGCAAAATTGGGGGGGGGGGGCGTGTCAGCTCGCGAATGACGATGCACGCCCGCCCGAACCATGGCCGTGCCTGATGCACTTTCGGCCCATTGTCGCGCCCCGTGGCGTCCAGACGCGGGCCAGAAGGAGCTTCACAAATAGAGAAGACGCAGCTAACTGTTCTCGACGTTGCAGAAGGTTATTCGCAGGAAGAAGAATGTCAAGAAAGGCATTCAGTTCTGCCTGATGGTGTGTGGTGCTTCTGGAACTGGTATGGCCACTCTCCTCCCCATTCGCGATGCACTCCGAGGAAGAATTTCCAGACTCACAGCCTCGCTACAGGCCGGACCACCTTCGTCAACACGCTCTGCGGCAAGTCTGTCCTCGAGCATAAGGAAGCCGACGATGCTACCAACGCGCACATTGAGGAGGGCGTCAAGATCAAGCCCCTTACGGTTGGTACGTGATATCGAGCCCAAAATGGTCCACTATCTTGCTGGACAGCTGCTAACCGCGTCATTAGAGCTTGAGCTTGACGAGGAAGGCACTCGAATCTCGCTGACCATCGTCGACACCCCCGGATTTGGCGACCAGATTGACAACGAGGCCAGGTTAGCCCCGCACCCATTGCCCTTTCGTCCATGCTGCGTCGCATGCTAAACCGTCGCGTACAGCTTCTCAGAAATCGTTGGCTACCTCGAGAGACAATATGACGACATCTTGGCCGAGGAGTCTCGTATCAAGCGTAACCCTCGCTTCAGGGACAACCGTGTCCACGCCATGCTCTACTTCATCACCCCCACCGGTCACGGGTAAGCAATCACCTTTCTGCTGCCAAGATGGCTATACCTTTTCGTACTGACGCGCCTCTCCACTAGCCTCCGGGAGCTCGATATCGAACTGATGAAGCGCCTTGCGCCCCGTGTCAACGTTATCCCCGTTATTGGCCGCGCCGATACCCTGACTCCTCAGGAGCTGGCAGAGTCAAAGAAGCTGGTCATGGAGGACATTGAGCACTACAGAATCCCCGTGTACAACTTCCCTTACGACATCGAGGAGGATGACGAGGACACGGTTGAGGAGAACGCCGAGCTCAGAGGACTCATGCCCTTTGCCATTGTCGGTTCGGAGGACGTTGTCGACATTGGTGGCCGCCAGGTCCGAGCCCGCCAGTACCCGTGGGGTGTCGTCGAAGTCGAGAACCCTCGCCACTCAGACTTCCTGGCCATCCGATCAGCCCTCCTCCACAGCCACCTGGCTGACCTGAAAGAAATCACCCACGATTTCTTGTATGAGAACTACCGTACCGAGAAACTGTCTAAGAGCGTGGATGGCGGTGCCTCTGGGTATGTATACCACTCCCCTGTCTTGATGCGACGGTGAACTGATGTGTAAAGTCTTGATAGCTCCATGAACCCCGAGGATCTGGCCTCCCAGTCAGTCCGTCTCAAGGAGGAACAGCTCCGACGCGAGGAGGAGAAGCTCCGCGAGATCGAGCTCAAGGTGCAGCGCGAGATCAACGAGAAGCGACAGGAGCTGCTGGCGCGCGAGTCCCAGCTCCGCGAGATAGAGGCCCGCATGCAGCGCGAGACCACGGCCCAGCCATCGCCCGCGATGGATGCCAGCCTCAACGGCGACGAGTAAACCATCCTCAATCACGCATTAGGGCTTTCTTCGGCATTATAAAAGCAAATTGCGACGTTGGTCTATTTACCGCTGCCGGCGTTGGGTTTTACCTCTCGTACTCACTGAAGAGCAAAGACATCAGAACATTCCCCCGGCCGCTACAGAATCGAGTTTGATTTTCTTCTCCTTTTGCATTTACTTATTCTATCGCGACCTACGACGAGCCGCAAAGTGGTACCGAGGTGGACGATACGAGGCTGAGAGGGAAAGGGGGGACTTTCCTGGTGGAACAAATGGAGAGGGTGGAATGCCGTTGGAACACAACGTATACCCCGACGAGGAGAGATGCCTCGGATGGACAAAGGTGGGAAGCGTGCGGCTATTCAGCATAATAATGCGCGAGGCGAGAGTGGATGGCATGCTTTGGCACTCTTACCGGAGGAGCTGGGGGGGCTGCCGTTGCTCTCGATGCTCCCTCTTGCAAGGTATCCTGTTTACTAGCCGCATCAATAGCCATCTGTTGTCAATTGGTCTCCCTGTTTTCTTTTTACTGTCTTTATTATTTTTTCTAGCTACTGTAGTGGACTTCTAATGCAGATATCAAATACATTCACAACCTTCATCACGCATGTCCGTTGACGTTCGACATGCACAGAGACGAGATGTTGATCAATTAAGTAAACACGAGCTGGTTAATCAATTTCTGCGCTCCAGCACAGACAAATACAGGTGAAGCAGGAAAAACAAAATGAACAATTAATGCACAGTAGCAACAATACACAATAACAAGGCGGGCTGCCCATCCGTGTCCACCCGCTGTATCCCATTATCCTACAAAACTGCTGAGACGAAGAGACAAGAAAAAGAAGGAAGAAGAGCCCATAGTGACAATCTCGAAGCTCTTTGCATGAATGCACAAGAAAGGGAACCGCTGCCAGCGAATTGTCCATCGCCCCTTGGCGCCATTAGTTGTTAGACTGGTTGTTGAGGATGCGAAGGATGGCGAGGAAGAGGTTGATAATGTCCAGGTACAAGCTGATGGCGGCGGCAATCTCCTCCTCGACGTGGTGGTGGCGCAGGACCAGCTGGGTGTCCACGAGGATGTATCCGCTGAAGATGAGCGCCGCGAGGCCGCCGTAGATGAGGTCTCCCGTCGAGCTGTACGGGAAGAACATGGACATGAAGCCGAAGATGACGAGGCCCCAGAGGGCGCCGAAGAGGTAGGGCATCCATGAGGTGAAGTCGTACTTTGTCTGGCAGGCGAAGAGGGTGAGGAAGACGAAGACGCCGGCGGTGAGGACGGTGGCGTTGAGGACGATGGAGGTCTGGTAGAAGGAGACGATGACGGAGATGGAGTAGGCCTCGGTGAGGGTGAAGAGGGAGAGGAAGAGGAGGTTGGTTGGGTATGATTTGCGCTTCCAGTAGGTGAGGCCCATGAAGATCATGGCGCCAAAGAGCTGTAGACATGATGGGTCAGCTGAAGCTCTTCGCGACGGGTGTTAGTTGGAGGAGGTGGATTGTGGTGGTGACATACAGATGCCCAGACGAGGCCGGGATGGCTTTGGATCCACGACTTGTACGCATCGCTGAAGAAGCTGATGGAGCTCAGGGCGGCGGTGGCAACGAGCTGGACGGTGAGGATGCTGTAGACCTTGCGGACGAACTGGTTGCGGATGTCGACGGTGGCTTCAGCGACAGAGCCTCCAAACTGTTTTGTTGGAAGTGACGTCAGCAAAAGAGCTTCCTTAATAGGAGCGAGATGTCATGCGCGACGCTGACTCTCTCTCGAGAGAAAGAATGAGAAATCTAGTGAGACGAACCTTGAAGTCGTCGGGGATGTTGTCGTCGCTGCTGCGCGGCTCGGCGAACAGGCCGGGATCATGCGACGACGAGGCCGCGGTGCCGTAGGCGGGCGGCGCCTGGGTGTAGTCGTCGTCGGGTTCCTGCTGGGGAGCGGGCTGGTATTTCGCCGTGGACGCCATGATGCTCTTTTTCGTCGCGCGCCGTCTCTCTTTGTCGCCGCGATGAGGATAAGAAAGCTGGGGATTCTCACGAGGAGGAGTTGTTGTGGTTGGAGGAGGAATGCGATGGGGGAAGCTGAGGTGAAAGGAAAGAGGTGAAGATTAACAGGAAGAGGCGATCACTGTGGCGGAAGATGATGTAGACGATATATTACTGGGTCAGGAGGGGATCCGGTGTGGCTGGTGGGCGGGACGGGTGCGGATGAGTTGCTTTGTTGGAAATGACACTGTGGCTGTGCAGCAGGCAGAGTCGGTACGTGATTGGTGGGAGAGGAAGCTCTGAGCTCTTGGCTTCTATCAAGGTGCGATTTCTCGAAGCATCCAAAGTCGCTGTGGGCAGTTGTCCGGAGTAGGTTGACCGAGAGCTGCACGAACATGCAGGATGACACGATGGACACATCACGAAGCCATACTATTGCGGCAGCACTCGACCTGTAGCTCAGAAGCCGGAGCTCTCAACAATATGTGTATGAATGAAAATCTTGCAAATAATAGCTGGCAGCTTCTTTCTCGCCATTCTTCATAACGGCCTCTGTCGCAGCAAAAGGTGAAACTAAGGAGACACTGGATCTCGTTGTTAATTGCACATGCCTGGTACTCCGCAAAACTAAGTGCCTGGAGACCTGCCGAGGTAGGATATTGCTGTAGACACTAGGTATGTAAAGAAGGTAGCTACTAGAAGTAGACTCCGGTTCCAAAGAATGCTGGAGAAGAGGCCACGGGAAGAACGAGAGAGAAGCGCGTTTCCGCCTTGCCAAGCTTGACTTGATTCAGACAACTAGGCCTAGAACTTTTGCGAGCGACAGAAACGGGTGCAGAAGGTGCTGTAATGAATGTACTCGTGATTGATTTTGCTTGCGATCCCTGCATGTCCTCCACAGCCGGGGTAGGTTGAGCAAAGAACGTGAGGGTTACATAAATGGCTCTTTGACGGATGACTGGTGCTGTTGACTACATGTACACAAATACAGTGGGTTCAATGTCTGATGTTTCTTATCCGAGATTATTTAACCGTGGTGCTCGCTGCAGTCGAATTCAAACTGAAACTTGAACTCCTTGTAATGCATTATATTGACCTGTGCGTCAAGCTCGACATCTTTGTTGCTCAAGTCATGTCAAAGAACGTCAAATAAGTGTAAGAGCATGAGTCTTGAGAGGGCCCACCATTTGCTGACGACGCTACGGTTTGATCACCCCCACTCGATCTGAGTTGCTTGCTGGGCTGAGATTAGGTTTCAAGAACATCCCAAGTTTCAAACAACCTGCTGTTCTCTGTCCGATATATCGAGTGAAAGCCATAAGAATCCACATGATGGACATGATTCGAGAGAATTAATAGACAGGACGATGTTGCAGGCCTACTGTTACTGATGAGGGAGCTTTAGGAGCGTCTCACTCAAAATATTCAGGGCATCTGTAAGGCTGAGGGCCATTTAGTCGCCATCTTTCTCGTCAAGTCAAGAGTCCAGAAGCTCAAGACCCAGCAGCAGTCAACCTATTTATTCTCTTTGCGATCGTCTCATCGCCTGGCCTGATACGAGCCCAGAGAACAAAGTGCAGCGATGCCTATTGTTATACCCTTTCGGCATCTTGGGCTCGGCTTGGGCCAACAGCAAACAAGGATCCGTCGCCGCCCGGATCCTCCAGCCTATACCCCGCCCACGTGTGTTGTTCGCTATTTTCCGAGCAGGACACGCTGTAACACCTGCATCATATCTTTCCAAACGGGATAGTCTTCTGTGGACGCCAACGCAAGCACGCAGCCCATAGAATGGAGTCGCTCTACACGATGGCAGTCGGCCGAGATGTCAGTAGATATGTACTGCTATCACCAAACCAACTCCTTTCTCCCCCTTGGACTTCTCAGTTCAAAAGAGGAGACCAGTTTCAGAGCGGAATTGCAGCAGCTGCCATTGGTGCCCACCCGCGTAGCCGCGTCTTGGTAGAGGTTAATCTCGGGAGCCAATCAGCCGCGGGGTCTCAGGCATCGCTTTTGTTGAGCCCAGGGGCCATTGGGGCCCAAGCGAGCGCCTCAGCACGCCTTTGCAGGCTGCTAGACCGCTAGCGGGTAGCGCAAGGTGCCCTGTGGCGGATTGGTGCTAGCGGGGCGAGGTGATCAATGCACGTCGACGCACACTGTAAGACTCGGGACCTGCAACCTGCAACTTGCACCGAGCAGCAGCGTCGTTTGATTGAATGGCACAGGGCGGATCCTCACCGCCTGCAATGGAACAGAGAACAATGACATCGATTGACCTTCCAATGGAGTGATTATGTAGGTAGGGCATTGTGTTGATCGTACCATGGTGTGAGGCTGGAAGAGGCCGTCCAATGCTGTTTGTGCCGGGCCTGAGACGAGAGAAAACAGTCCAGTATCGTGGACCAAGGAATTATAGTACCCAGGGGTTCAAGACATCTGAAATTTGACCAATTTCTGTTCGATATGCGCGGGGGGAAGGCAGTGCATGCTCGCATGTTGACTGCTCATATTCTAATACCTTGGTAGGTAGTAGACTTGCAGACCAGCCGCTGCTGCCGCATGTGCATACACGCAATATTGATGCGTTGTGACAGTGGGATTCCACGCATCTCAAGCATCTTCTGGGGACATCATGTAATGCTGCCAGTTGCAATTGGTGTGAGCCGTGCAGTGCCAGCAAACAGCAAGACAGGCAGTTGCCGTCTCGGGTACCCAGCGGCCATGCAAATGCATGCAGCATGCCGCCGTACAGTGTACCTCCGTGCGAGGTGCTGTGGTTCTGGCACCCAGCCTGAGTCGCATGTTCGAGTCGAGCAGCATCTGAAGCGCTGATCCCTCTGATCTGGACTCTCCACCGCCTATCTGTCCTTTTTCCCGCTTGCTCTCTTCTCTTTACCCTTTTTTCTCCTTCTCCCGGCCCCGGTCTCTGCGTAGTCTCTGCTTGCCGAGCGTCAACTGCGCTCTTTAAACGCTCCTCTTTCCCCTCCCCAGCCCAAAAAAAGACTCCAAAGTGGGCTTCCATCGCATCTGCAAGCAATTGACCAGGGAAGCTTGGCAGAGCGCCGTTTTTTCCTCTATTTTCTTTTTTTGTTTCCTTTTTTTTTTCACCTTCTCCCCTCTATTCAAGCTCCCTTTTTTTCCCAAAGGAAGCTAAGCAGCAGCTTGGGGCGCCACTCCGCAGCCCGGCGCAAAAAGGTGGAAGACTGAAAAAAGAGAGGGTAAATTGACACGGACGAGGAGAAACAACACAGAAAAGCGCCCAATCACGAGCGGCAGTGAGACATCCCACCACCCCCACCACACCCTCTGGCTGCGACTTCTGCTACTAGTTATTCTGACTACTGCTAGCACCAGGGTATTATTACTACTGGCCCGTTGCTATTGATTCTTCTACTACCTCCTTGTTGTTGGCCGTTGGCAACTCAGGAACTCTCCTCCGCAGACTCGCTCCCTCTTGTATCCTGTCCTTGCGGAGTCCCAAGTGCTCGCTCACGATCGCCACCTCTTGTCACAGCGCCTTTCGACACCATGGGCGACTCGCACGGCCTGGTGAGCGAAAAGACGGCCATCGGCTCCTCCATGGCTCCCCAGAGCTCCAGACCGGCCAACGGGTCCGTCTATCTCCAGGCCTCTGGCAGCAATGGCAATGTCGTGCTCGTGCGTCGGCTGAGGCGCAAGGACGAAGGGCTGTGGAAACCCCTCGCTCGTTGGTTCGTCGAGAACCAGGTCGGTATGTTGGCCGCGGATTTTCCTCGTTTCTGTTTCTAACTCTCGGGGTGCCCTCTGTCGATGAGGCTGCGCGGCTCGTCTGTACTTGCAGAGTACTCGCCTGTCGCGATCTGTGCGGAATGCGACAGAGACGCCCCTCAAGCAATCTCATCATGGCAGAATCGCTGACTTGTCGGGGACGGTTGTCACCGGAATTAGGCCTCTCTCTCAACCTGCTCGCTCTTCTCTTCCTGTCCCACGCCTGCATCCCCAAAGCCAGGGATTACACGACCAAGTTCTTCCATCTGTCGTACTATAATGACAAGACGGGCAAGTACGCCACCGGATTCGACGACGGCTACCTGATTGCCTTCTTCATCGTCCTTTTCACCGGGCTGCGAGCCGGCACGATGGAGTATATCCTGGCGCCGCTGGGTCGGCTCAATGGAATTAGCAAGCGAAAGGACGTGACGCGGTTCAGCGAGCAAGCCTGGCTACTGGTCTACTACGCCGTTTTCTGGCCTATGGGAGTGGTACGTGGCTTCTGAAGCAAAGACGCGGGACGGCATGGGACGCAACAATTGACTGATTCTCTCTAGTATCTGTACTACAACTCGCCTGCGTACTTGAACATGAGGGAGCTGTGGACGGACTGGCCGAACCGGGAGATGGGTGGTCTGATGAAGTGGTACATGCTTGCCCAGTGGGCATTCTGGCTGCAGCAAATTGTGGTCATCAACATTGAGGACCGTCGAAAGGACCACTGGCAGATGTTCAGCCACCACCTCATCACGACGGCGCTGATCTCCTCGTGCTACTGCTACCACCATACCCGAGTGGGCATGTTTATCCTGGTGATTATGGACGTGGTGGACCTGTTTCTTCCGGTGAGTTTTCTCTTTGTGTTCCCCCCCTCTCTCTTTGACTACTGAATCTACACTCTTATGTTTTTGGTATCAATGTGAGGGCTGACCAGAATCTGTAGCTTGCCAAATGTCTCAAGTACTGCGGTTTCTCCACGCTGTGCGACGTGACCTTTGGCCTCTTCATGGTGACCTGGTTCATCGCGCGACACGTCCTCTACCTGACGGTCTGCTGGTCCATCTACGCCCACACCCCTGAGATCATGCCCAATGGATGCTTCATCGGACCAAATTCGTCGCTGCAGGGACCCTTTGAAGCCCCCGCCGGGTTCTCGTACCTGATCGAGCCCTACTTCAACTCGACGGGCCGCGTGTGCTTCAACGAGACGGTCAAGTGGGCCTTCCTCACGCCCCTCCTTCTGCTGCAAGGCCTTACGGTTGTCTGGTTCTTCATGATTGTCCGCGTTGCCATCAAGGTGCTCCGCGGAGACGGCGCAGAGGATACCCGAAGCGACGACGAGGCCGAGGAGGGAGAGGACGAAGAGGAGCTCATCTACGAGGAGGTGCAGCCGCTGGAGCAGGAGGTGGGCGTGGAAGAGCTGGACCTCAAGAGCTGGGAGCGACGCAACGGGCTTAAGAAGCAGGCTTCCGCCAGTGGTGTCAGCCTCCCGGGACACAGCGATCGCAAGGAGCTCCTCGGCCGCATTGGCTGCGAGAAGCAGGTGGAATAAGATACCAAGGCAGGAAAAAAGGAGGAACATGGGCCAGACGGATGAGGTGCTTCACATGTGTTTGTTTTCATTCCCTCGGGACAACGGCGTTGCGGAGTTTATAAGCTACCCTTGACCCTCATTCTCTCTTCATGGGACAGGGAAAGGGGGCTTCTTCCTTTATTGAAACGAACACCTTCTTTGGGATATGGGAATACTTTTTACCCAGCTGGAAAAGGACGGGCTCTGTGTGTCATGAACCGAGGAGGAGCTCCAGGTCCGGGCGAGAAACGGAGCAGCGGGACGAAGCTAGAAAGATTGTTTGATTGATACCATACCATATGCTGCGACCAAAAAACTGACACGACATGAGGAGGGGGAAAACAGTGGATGGGATGGGCTATAGAACTCGATAGATTGAGTTGATTTAGTGCGGGTTTTGTCATGACTACTTTTGATTTGCGAGGATTCTTTTCCGAATTTGGGGATGAATGTTGCTTGTTCATGTCCTGTGATTTGTTTGAAGCTTTTGAGCCGAGGATTGCGCTGTTCGTTTGGCTTGCAGGAACATGGTGAGAGATTGTTCTCGTGGAACTGACTGTATGATGCGCCTTTGGACTATCCTCGTGGAAAACCGGCTGTTGGATAACTACGTCGTTCAATTTGCTCGAAGCATTCGAGTCACAGAACTGCATCCACACTGTCAAGATAGTTATATGCTTGTTGGTCGGCTATATAGAAATAGAATCCTGGTTATATCCAACACTGATGCTACCTACAAACACACAGCCGTCCGTACTCAGCAAGGATAAGCTCAAATCAATCCCTCCGCAATCGCCAATGTAACCAAAAGTAAAGGACAAAATACCCAAGAACCCGAAATGATGAAAATATCTCAGTAAATGCATAAAAAACAAAAACATGCTTCCCGTTCATGTGGTGGTGTCAGCACTTGCAGTTTGGTGCCCTTTTCATTAACTCGTCCTTGAAAATCTTATAGTTGTTTTCCCCCTCCTCTTCATTCGCCGCCCCCCCCTTTTACCTTATCTTCTCATATGTGAATGGATCTTATAACCCGTCCGCAAGCTGCTTCTTTGCCATGTCCTGCAACTTGAATTTCTGAATCTTTCCGCTCGCCGTCTTGGGATAGTCGTCGACCCAGAAGACGTACTTGGGCACCAGGTGGCTCGACAGCTTGGTGCGCACCCAGCTGCGCACGCGATCCTTGGTCAGCCGCCGCGCGGCCTCGTCGCCGTCGTGCTCGGCATCGCGCGTCGCCGTCCAGCCCGCCCGCGGGATGATGAAGGCGGCGACGGCCTCGCCCAGGCGCTCGTCGGGGACGCCGGCGACGGACACCTCCTGGACGCCGGGCAGCTGGAAGAGGCAGTTCTCGACCTCGAGCGGGTGGATGTTCTCGCCGCCGCGGATGATGAGGTCCTTGATGCGGCCGGTGATGCGGACGAAGCCGTCGGCGTCCATCTCGGCCTCGTCGCCCGAGTAGAGCCAGGTGCGGCCGTCGGGCTCGGTGCGGCGGACCTGGGCGGTGCGCTCGGGGTCCCCGAAGTAGCCCTTCATGACGAGGTAGCCCGAGGCGGCGAGCTCGCCGCGCTCGCCGATGGGGACGATGCGCGACGGGTCGAGCGGGTCGACGATCTTGACCGTGGTGGGCTGGGGGCGCCGGGCGCTCAGTAGGGACTGGATGGTGCCGGAGCTGGAGCAGAGGTTGGCCGACCGGAGCAGCGAGCGGAGGGACCCGCAAGCGTTCCCGCTGGCGCAGCGGCACAGGGAGCCGTTGCCGCGGCTCAAGCGGCGGGACTGGATGCGAGAGAAGTTCGAGCCGCGGCAGGAGCAGGGCGAGTTGGGGTCGAAGTTGCGGGTAGTCCAGGTCCGGCGCGAGAGGGTGGAGCCGCGGCTCGACGAGTAGTAGCCGCGGCAGTGGCTGGAGCGGATGGCGGGCCCGTTCCCGGCGTCGTTGGCGAGCGACGAGCTTTGGCAGCAGCCGCTGGAGGTAGCGTCGCGGTAGGTCTCGCTCCGGCACGGGTGCGACGCGGCGCAACAGCACGACCTGTTGGCGCGCTTGGTAGGCCCGCAGCTGAAGGGGGAGCTCCTGGACCGGCGGGACTCGGGAATGTTACTGGAGGAAGTCCCCAGCCTGGCGCGTCAGCAGGGGCTGCGCGGCGAGCTAGGCAGTCTGTGGTAGTTGTAGGTCAAGTGCAGCCCGTGCTGCAGCTACGGGTTCCGCCGCGTCGACAGCGTGTGCCGGTAGGAGTTGTTACCGCGGAAGTAGCGGCTGGCATACCCGGAGCGAGGAAGCCTGGCGCAGCAGCAAGGCGGCGGCGAGAAGGTGACGAAGCCGAGGCACGACCCGATATACCGCTGCCGGTGCTGCCCGCGGCGGTAGGAGAAGGGCAGCGGGCGGAAACTGGGGCAGCGGTGGTAGGCGTACCGGCGGCTCGTGCTCCGGTGCCCCGAGATGCCGCAGTCGTGGTACGAGCAGAGGCAGAAGCTCCGCGAGCTGCGGCCGCCGGACGGGCACGGCGTCGTGGACGCGTTCCCGTAGCAGCGGCCGTCGTCGCAGGGGCTCCGGGACTACGCGTGGTAGAAGCGGGCGGAGCCGGACGTCCTAGACCAGTAGACGATGCCGTACTGCCTCTGCCGCGGGCAGTCGACGTACTGGGCCGGGAGCCTGGGGAAACAGGTCGCGTGGCGGAGGCACCCGTGGGGCTACGGCGTGTGC